AAAATGTATGTTTCCAAATATTAAGGCTTTTCTACTTACATTTCTTCTTTTTTTTCTTTAAATTATTTTATTGTTGTTTAATTGCTGTTGTCTGTGTTTTCTCCCCACCCCTCTGTTTACATTTCTGTTACTGGTTTCTAATTTAATTCCCATTGTATTCAGAACATATTTTGTATGAATTAAATCTTTACATGTCCCAGAATATGGTCTTTCTTGGTAAATGTTCTGTGTACATGTTGAAAAAAAATTGTATTTTGCTGTGGTTGCATAGAGTGTTCTGTAAATACCAATTGGGACCACCTGATTGATTATATTATTTAGTTCTTTTATGTACTAACTAGTATTTTCTAATCTACTTGTTCTGTCTCTAATTGAGAGAGTGGTATTAAAATTAAATCTCCAGTAGTAATTGTGAATTTCTCTATCTCCTTCTATTGATAGTTTTATCAGTTTCTGCTTTGTATTTTCCGAAGGTCTTTTAAATGTATGTGTTTAGGATTATTATCTTTATAAATTGACACCTGTATCATTGTTAAATGGCTTTATCCTTGGTAATGTTCTTTGCTTTGTAATCTGTTTTGTCTGATTTTAATACATCACTCCAGTTTTACTTTGAATAGCTTTTGCATGGTATATCTTCCTTCCTTTTACTTTAATCTACTTGTGCTTTTATATTTAAGTTGCATGTAGTTGCCTATAGTCTTGTTTTTCAAAAACACAACCACAATCTTTGCCTTATAATTATGTTTAGACCTTTTACATTTAATGTGGTTATTGATATGGTTAGGCCTCAGTCAGTAATCTTGCTATTTTTTTTTAAGATTTTATTTATTTATTTTTAGAGAAAGGGGAAAGGAAGGAGAAAAATAGGGAGAAAAACATCAGTGTGCAAGAGATGCATCAGTCGGTTGCCTGTCGCATGCTCCCAGCTGGGGGCCTGGTCTGCAACCCAGCATATGCACTGACTGGGAATTGAGCCAGCGACCTTTTTGTTCCCAGGCTGGTGCTCAATCCACTAAGCCACACCAGCCAGAGCACTATTTGTTTTTAATTTACCTAATTTTTCCTTCCTCCCTCCCTCCTTCCCTCCCTTCCTTGTACATCACCTGAGTATTTTTCATGGTTCAGTTTAAATCCATTGTTGATTTTTTAGCTATGACTTAAGTCCTATTTTAGTGGTTACTTTTGAGTTTACAGTATACTTCTAATTTATTACAGTTTCCTTTTAAGTCATATACTACTTAATGCATTGTGTAAGAACCTTACTAAAGTATACATCCTATTTCTCCTGGTTTTTTATGCTGTTAGCTATATTTACCCACACAGTTAACCATTTTTGGTGTTCTTTATTACTTTATATGGAAATCCATATTTCCATCATGGTGTTTTGTTTTTCTGCCTAAGACTTTTTAAAAACATTTTTTTTATTTGTAGGTTTGCTGCTGATGACTTTTTTTTCAGCTTTATTTCATTTGATTTTGGAAGATATTTTTGTTGGGTATAGAATTGTCTAGGTTTTTTTTTCCTCAGTACTTCAAAGATGTTGCTCTGCTGTCTTTTCACCTGCATTATTTTTAGTAAAAAACCTGATGTCATTTTTGTGTGTAACATCTTTTTCTGCTGGCTCCTTTCAGTTTTTTAAAAAATTATGTATTGTAAGTATTTTGATGATGACATGCCATAGTATAACTTCTTAATGTTTTCTCTGCTTAGTGTTAGTTGGACTTCTTAGATCTGTAGGCTTATAATTTTTTCATCTAATTTGGAAAATTTTTGGCCATTACGTTGTTACATTTTCTAATTTTGATCCTTCCCAAGTTTCATGTATATTACGTCACTTGAAGTTGTATCAGAGCTTAATGGTGATGGTGGCGTATGTGTCTCCTGTTTTTTTTTCCTCACCAGTTTTCATTTGGGATATTTTATTACCGTGTCTTCAAGTTCATTGATTTTTTTCTTCTGCCATTTCAGATCTGTTAATTTTATCTATTGTATTTTTCATCCGAGATATTGTATTTTTTATATTATGTTCAGTTTGATTTTTTTCCATATGTCTCTGCTCAACATGTTCAGTCTTTCCTCTTGGTTTATACACATAAAAACTACAGTTACAGCAGCTGTTTTAATGTTCTTGTCTACTGAGTTTATTATTTGTGTCAATTTTCTACTGATTCAGTTTTTTCATTATGGGATGTATTTTCTTTCTCTTTTTTTTGTGCCCGTTAGGTTTTATTTGGATGTCAGACATGGTGACTTGTTGGTACTAGGTATTTTGTATTATCCTTGAGTTTTATACTGGGAGGCAGTTAAGTTACTTAGAAACAACTTTATTCTTTCAAGTTTTGAAAGCCTTGTTAGGCAGAACCACCAGAGTAGTTGAGGGCTAATTTGATCCCACTACTGAAGTAAAACCCTTCTGAATACTCTGATTCCTTGTGACTTATAAGGTTTTTCACTGTGCTTGGTGTGAGTCCAGATCTTCCCAGGTGCTCCTCCTGGGTCTTTGTGAGTCCTGATGGTTTTTTCCCCTTAAGCCTTTTGGGTAGTTCTTTCCCTACCTAGCCTCTGGTGCTTGCCTCACACACAAGCACTGATCAGTACTCAGCAGAAGACTTGAGAGGGGGGATCATCTTGCAGGTTTCAGTGTCCTTTCTCTCTACAGATCTCTCCACTGGTAGTCTGCTCTGCAAACCTGATCATTTTGATGCCCCCTAGACTCCCAGATTCATGTCTTCATCACAGGGAGACTGTTTTTCTCCCCTTGGGTTCCCTGCCCTCTGTTTTTTTGCAGCCTGTAGACTGCAAAAGCTCACCTAATGTGTTTCTCATCTCTGTATCAGTTTCCTTCATTGCCTAATGTCCAGTTTCTTGAAAACTGTTGTTTTGTATATTTTGTCCATTTTGTTGTTATTTTAGATGGGAGGGCAAATCTGGTCCCTGTTTTTCCATCTTGGTTGAAGCAGATGTCTCCATATATAGGAATTTGAAATAGTTTCTCTTCTCACGAAACGTATTTCAGGTGATGGTGATGAGAAATGGGGATCAGAATTATGTGTAATTAATTATAAAAAGTCCTGAATGATGATCCTGAGATTTAGTCAATAACTTATGGGTGAACCATACAGACTAATGGTTAAGAACCCCAGACTGGTGTTCGATTGTGGGAACAGCATCAGGGCATGGTAGTAGCATGCCCTGGTAGTAGCATGATTAAGGGCGTGGTAGTAGCATGCCTTAACACAGTAGTAGCATGATTAAGGGCTGTAACACTACCCTAGACTGAAAAGAAATTGTTGGTAAATTTCCCAAAGGTTTTTGTATGATAAAAATGTGGCTTGTTTTTGGAGAAGTTGGACCAGATAACCTCTCAAGTTTCTTTTCCAAGATGGCACTACATCATTCTTATATATATAGTGTATTTTATTTCTATAAAAAGCCCTGGGTTTCCTCAGCCCATCTTCAGGGTTCCAGAAGGTAGACAAATACTGGGTGCTGGTGTAGGAGGCATCAATATTTTTATTGGTCACTTTGTTGATGGCATAAATCAGGAAATTTCAGTAGTCTTATAGGGTCAGTAGTCAGTAGTTTAAAAGCCTACAGTTGGTTTTACTTGGCTGTTAATTCATATCATGTAAACATTAAATAGCTATTACTATCTTAGCACAAATACTTCATTAGATCATTCACTCAACTAGTATTTTTTGAGTGCCTACCATGTGTTGGGTCTGTGCCTGACATTGGCTAGATGAGTTAGGGGTATGGCATCTGTAATGAGGGAGATAACATTACCTATCACTCTTCTGCAGAGATCAGCCTAAATCAGTGGCTTGCAAACTCTTTGGGCTCAGATCAGTAACCTTGAAAGTTTATTGTGAACTCTAAAGATCTTTTGTTTATGTGCATTCTGTTGATACCATGCTAGTTAAAGCTGATATATCTTTGAGAATATTAGTTTAATAAGACATAATAATTTATTACATACTAAGTAATATTTTTCTGAAAATATCTATTTGCCCACCCCCCAAAAAATTTTTCATGAGAAAACATGCACTGTTTCACAGTTTTCAAATCTCTTTAATGTGTGGCCAAATTTCTAATATTTTAAATTAATCTAACTTTCTTTATACAGGAAAAAAAGACTTTGTAAATAAGCTCAATGAATTTTCTCGTAGAAAAACATCATGGGTAGTCAGAAACAATCGTAAGATTGCTTAGTGGACTTGGAATCAGAATGGGGGAGTCAGTTGAGTGACCTCCAATAGAGAGGTTCACCTGCCTTAGGGATTGACTCAAAGCCAGGGAATGTTACTCATGTAATAGATGTTCGGTAAATATTTGTTGAATGATACTAATCTCTGAGAGGTTTGGGGTGGTTTCACTGCTAATGCTTTACTTCTTCACTCCAAGCAATAAATTGAGTTGTGTGAAGCACTTTTATGGCACAGGTAGGTTTCTTCTCTGAATTTGGGGAATGAAAAAGAAAGATTCTGTAGTAGTTTCTCCCAGAATGTTTTTTAAGGAGGTCAGTTTTATTTTATTTTATTTATTTTCAGAGAGAAGGGAAGGGAGAAGGAGTGGGAAAGAAACATTATTGTGGGCAAGAGAAGAGAAACATCTATCAGTTGCCTCTCACATGCCCCCAACCAGGGACTAGCCTGCAACCCAGGCATGTGCCCTGCCTGGGAAATGAACTGGTGACCTTTTGGTTCACAGGCCCAGCGCTCAATCCACTGGGCCACACCAGCCAGGGCTCTTCAAGAATTTAAATTGTTCTGTGGCAAGGCTATTGCTGTTATAAATTAATTAATGTAATATGTCAAGTTTTGTAATAGTAAGAACTGGCAGACCATTGAAAATGTGCATAGAACCAACTAGCACTTTAGTGGTTACTTAAATACCAATTGAACTTTGATACATGTATCACATCAAGAAATGTAAAAATATGAAGTTACACAGTCTGCTAAAATATTTCCTTAACATTTGTTTCTCTCATTTCTCAGTTGTCTTCAACTGTTCTGAAGTACAAGACCTTCCAAGTCACTGTAGATATGGACAAAGAAGAAAGGAAGATTATCAACCAGGGTCAAGAAGATGAAATGGTAGGCATTATTTATAATTTACTACAATAGCCAAGTGTCGGAAGCAATTTAGGTGCCCATCAGTAAATGAATGGATCAAAAAACTATGGTACATTCACACAATGGAATTCTATGTAGCAGAAATAAAGAAGGAGCTCCTGTTCTTTGTTGACAGCATGGATGGAACTGGAAAGCATTATGTTAAACGAAATAAGCCAGGTGGTTAAAGACAAATACCATATGATCTTACCTTTAACAGGAACCTAATCAACAAAACAAACAAACAAGCAAAATACAACCAAAGACACTGAGCTAGAGAACAGGTTGACAGTGACCAGAGGGGAGAGGGGAGGGAATTTCAGGGGAAAAGGGAAAGGATTTACAGGAACTAGTATAAAGGACATGTGGACAATAACAAGGTGAGGGGTGAAAATGGGAGGGAGGTGGGGGGCACTGGGGGGATGGCCTAGGTTTGGAGTAAAAGGCGGAAAACTGTTCTTAAACAGTTAAAATACAATTTAAAAAGTGCAAAGAATTTATCTTTGTAACTTATTATTCTAGGCAAGTAGAAAAGTACATTAAAAAAAAAACCCATAGCCAAATAAATGTGATTTTCTTTTCCAGACTGTTTTTGAATTGGGATTATATAACATTTCTATTTGTTGTTTTAGACTGCTTCCTTGTTTCACTTGTGAACTGTTAAAATTTAGAGGAAAGAAGTATGTTTTTTCATTTGGTAAATTAAGAAGTTGTGCTAGCTAATGCTTAAATATAATCCCAAACACAAGATTTCTAATTTTGATTTATAAAGACATTTAAAATCAGTTTAATAAAAAAAAACAACCCTCAACTCTTTGTGTATGCAAGGGGCCATAGGGTTGTCAGGTAAAATAGCATAAGACAATGTGACAGTTTAATGTTAAATATGAACTTCAGATAATCAAGGAGAACATTTTTAGTATAAGCATGTTCCAGATGTTGCAGAGGGCAGAAAAAAATAATTTGTTTCTTTAATCTGAAATTTGGCAGCCCTTGTTATGTTGCGGGGATCAGGTAATGGTGTAATGGAAACAATTGAAATGATTTGATTAAGGAAGTCAGATTGGTCATTCACAGTGGTATTGGGACAATTAGTTAATAATCTGGGGGTAAGATAAAGTTAAAACCTATCTCATCTAAATGTAACATCATATTCTGGATTATATCCTGAAATACATATAAGACTGAAAAAACTGGTGAAATCCTGATAAAGACTAGGTTTGTTTAATAATAATGTACAGCATTAATCTCTTTGATTTTAACAGATGTACCAAGATGTTAACTTTAGGGGGAAAAATTGGGCAAAAGTGTATACAGGAAGTCTTAATATTTTTGTAACTTTTCTACAAATTGAAAAGCATTCCAAAATTAAAAGTTTATTTAAAAAAAAACCCTATATTAAAACAAGGTAAGTTCTGGGAGAATTAAAAAGATAAACTAAAAATGGAATTATAAAAGTTGTAAGAAAGTATACTGAATACAAACATCTATGAATACGAGTATCTATGTCAGTGAGAAAGAGATTACTAAGGATAATATCAAATGTAAAACTATAATATATAAATATTAACAGATATAGCTACTTAAAAGTATACCTTTGAGAATGAGCTTATCAGAAACAAAATTTAAAGATAAACTATGAATTGGGAAAGTACTTGCAGTTCATCTGACAAGATAGTAACATGCATCTGGAAAACAAAAATTTTAGAAATTTCTCTTTCATATGATTTGATGATTGCTCACGATTAATGTGTTCATGCAGGAGATATACGGCTATAATTTGTGTCGCTGGAAGCTTGCAATCGTTTCTCTAGGAGTGGTTTGCACTGGTGGCTTTCTCCTCCTCCTCCTCTACTGGATGCCCGAGTGGCGGGTGAAGGCGACCTGTGTTAGAGCTTCAGTTAAAGACTGTGAAGTGGTGCTGCTGAGGACTACTGTAAGTCTGTGGATTTAGTTGTAGCTGGTTGAGGAGTAAAGTCAAGTCTGTGGGTGTACTTTGTTCAAAATAATATATGAAGAAAACAACACTTCTAAGATGAAATGAGAAATACTAATCTTAGTATTTCTAAAGCATCTGTGTTTGAAATGAATATTTTCAGAGCAATTAGGGTATAAGGAATCTTAAAGATGATCAAATCCACCCCTTCTTTTTCAGCTCTTGATGTGCTGAGAGATTTGATGCTTGTATGTCAAGGTTACTGGACAGTTAGGACTATATTTTAGATCTCTCATTCACTAGATCACCTGCCTCTACTTTGTGATGCTGTTTCATCCCAGGGTGTGTTGTATATTTGTGTGTGTGTGTGTGTGTGTGTGTGTGTGTGTGTGTATTCTAATTGGGAGCCTTTTTTTCTTTTTAAAATTATATTGCTAATATTATACATTGTCCCAATTTTTCCCCCTTTGCCTCCTCCACCCAGCACACCCCATTCCCTTGGCAGTCCCCGCACTGTTGTTTGTGTCCATGGGTCAAGTTCTTTGGTGACTCTATTTCTTCTACTGGACTTTACATCCCCATGGCTATTCTGTAACTGCCTACTTGTACTTTTTAATCCCTGCACTTCACCTATTTGCCCACACTTTCTTCCCATTTGGCAACCTTCAAAACACTCTCTATATCCATGATTCTGTCTCAGTTCATGTTTGCTCAGTTTGTTTTTTATTTCAGTTGTTGATAGATACGTATTTATTGCCATTTTATTGTTCATAGTTTTGATCTTCTTTTTCTTAAATAAGTCCCTTTAAAATTTCATAGAGTAATGCTTTGAGGATGATAAAATCCTTCAGTTTTTTTTTTGTTTGTTTGGGAAGCCCTTTATCTGCCCTTTGATTCTAAATGATAGCTTTGCTGGGTAGAGCGATGTTGGCTGTAGCTCCCTGCTTTTTATGACTTCGAATATTTCTTGCCTGGAAGCATTTTATATGAAATTTTAATATTTAGTCTCAGTATGTTGATGGATAAATTAAGAAGTTATTGGTGAAGTTTTATGAGATATTGTGTCAGTGAAGTGTGTCATTTAAACGGTGAACAATGGGAAGCGCTTTACATTTGAATTTATGCATCTATGAAATGGCTTAACATTTAGTGAGTAGAAAATGATGCTTTCTCAATTAGAGATGAGAAAATAATATGTAAAGAATGGAAATTAAAAATGTAGGCAATTATATAATATACATAATTGACTCTTTACCTGTTTCTCTTGCAAGGATGAATTCAGAATGTGGTTTTGTGCAAAAATTCGCTTGCTTTCTCTGAAAACTCATCCATTTTCAAGTCCAAAATCTATGGCTAATGTGGTTTCAAATGGCCATGCTGTTCTTTTAACTGAAAATCTGGCTGAAGAGAACAGACATGAGATAAGCAAATATTCACAGACGCAATCAGAACAGGTATTGTGATCTTAGTGTCAAAGTTTTTTAAAATCAGGATCGTTACATTTTATGCTGTCATGGATGGTCTGTAATTTTGTGCTTGCAGTTATTTATGCATATAAAATACCCATTTATTACTGTATTATAACAGATTAGGTAATACTAGAAGACACAGATTACATGTCACATGTGATCACTCATTTTAATGTTATATGGTAGATTTACTAGTAAACTTAATTGATAACAGGTGATGATAATGCCTTTTGATGTAACACTTATGTGTGTTCTACAGATTCGTTATTTCACTCACCATAGTGTAAAATATTTCTGGAATGATACCCTTCACAATTTTGATTTCTTAAAGTAAGTAATTTTCTTTTGTTTGGATTATATTATGAATATATTGAAAATGTTCTAGATAGAAAAGAATTCATTCTAGTGTTACATAAAATTGAAGAGGCTTTTATTCAATAACTTTTATTCACTTACTCATTAACTCTCAGTGTTTATTTGAAAACTGATTGGCCATTTTAGAATAAATCTAACAACTAGTACCTTGGGAAAATATATATAAAAGAAGCAGTATGATACTAAAATCCACTGAGTGAGGGTTTTTTTTTTGAGGGTTCATTTCAAAATGAACTTTGAGTATAACTGTCTGAACTATCACCTCACAATTTGTTCCCAGTTCTACCCACTTGTACTGGAGGAATGAAGAAATAGATTAAGAAAAATTTAACTTTACTATGTGGATAAAATGGGACATTATCGAATGTGTTAAAACTTGGTGAGAGCAAATTGGAACAATCTCTTAAAATTTGTATTTGTGGAGGCTTCAAGTTATATAAATACGAAATTAATTATGAGCCTAATTTTATTGCTTTTGTAAGTTAAGGTGATTCTTATAACACTCAACTATCATTGCTTGAGGGTGCTGAAGGAATCCTTAACATTAGCAAGACAAAGGAAATCACCTTATGAATATTTAAAATATTTATGCCTGGTCGCCCCCCCCCCCCCCCCCCCACACACACACACTAAATAATTGGAATATTCTGGAATGGACCAGGGCATTTCCACATGCCTAGTTCTGAACACCGATCCTAATTAAGAACTATTGCCTTAAAGAACACAGCCAATGAGCTGCCATTTTGATTTTTAAAAAACTGACTGGGAGCTGATCCCTGCTGCCTTTGGAGAAGTCAGCTTCAGTGGGGAAAAATGTCAAACATATTGTTCTGCAGCCTTTGCTAACCATAGAAACTTGTAGAATTTAAGCTTATCCCAATGATAACAGTTAATTATGGAGCTTAATTTTCCTATCTGAAAAACAGTGGAAAAGGATTGGAGTTAAATGATAAGATTCTCTTCAGACTTCTATGACTAGTACCTCAGTTAAAATCAGCTCAGTTAAGACATTTTGTTGGGGGGTGGTTGATAGGTTAGTTGCATCCCAGTTACAGTTGTTACAGATTTTAGCCATCGCCTGTGATTCATAAATTCTGTACTCTGTTAGATCAGGGAAGGATTTGGGTTGTTGCTTTTGTAGAAAGAAAATAAATGAACAGGGTTTCTTAGTGTGAAGCTTAAAAAATTGGGGAGGGGGAAGCTATATAAATAAAAAGTAAAAGATTTTTAGATCTTTATTTTGGAATTCTCAAACTAGTCATACTTGACCTTTAATTTTATTACTTTAATTATTAGCTCCTAGCTAATTATTTAGCTAATTAAATAATTATTTAGCTAATAATTAAACTGATTTGGCACATAGCCTTAAAGGATAATATTGCTATATAAACCTTAGTATTTAGAGCCATTTTATCATGTGATACATACATTGTATAACTTAGGTGCCACATTTGAAACTCAGACCTTTCATTATTGTTTATGTTATGAATTTGAGATTTAAAAATTCTCGTTCATTATTTCAATTTTTGTTAAGGATTTCTACTTGTAGGGAAGTCACACTTTAAAATCAGGAATATAGAAAAATGAGGCATTAAGACATTTGGATATTTTAAACTTTGTTTAAAGTAAAAACTTTGGATTTATTTAGGGGACTGGATGAAGGTGTTTCTTGTACGTCAATTTATGAAAAGCATAGTGCAGGACTGACAAAGGGGATGCATGCCTACAGGTAATTTTTATCCAACTAAAGTCAGATCTATTATCAAAATTCCTAAATACAGTAGTGTATATAGTCCACCCTTTCACCATATAGTTGTACGTTAACAGTTATTAAATATTATAGACACCGTTGTTGACAAATTATACTTTATTTGGGTAAAGTTATTTTTCAGTTGAAGAATTAAAAAATGTTGAAGCTGATCTTTCAAAGTTGATATTCCCTGAAAATATACCATATTTCATAGATTCTAAGGTACACATTTTCCCACATTTTAACATTTCTAAAAGGATGTTTGTCATCCTTTATCTTTTTTGATGCTACATAAAATAATGGGTGTATCGTACAATTAATAGTATCTTAGATTTTATTGACATGTATTGGGAATAATAAACATGAGCTCAAATTTACCTCTGAAAATTTGTAAATTGGGAATTATGATCTTTTTTTATCATGTTATTCTCAGCTAAAGTATACAAATACATCAGTGTATTGCATATTTTAAAAATAAGTGCCATTTAAAAATTAAATTAGAAATTTTCTTATACTACTTAGCATGTTTTTCCAGTGTTAGAATGTTAAAAACTTTGTTTTTTTAGACTTATACTTCTTACAAGACAAGAATTACTCTATCATATATGAAGTACTATTTTAAGGAATTTAAGTGGAAGGATTTAAGCAACTTAAGTATTTTTTTTAAGTCAAACATACAATATTTTGAAATAAACATTCTTAGTACAATACTATTATGAGGAAAATAGTATAGGGTACCTGAAATTTATTTAGTCTTTCCAAAGTATTAATTGCAATTCAAAATTGTTGAGACCTGTTGTTTTCAAGAGTGGAAAACAAACTCTTTGCTGACATAATTATTGTAGATTAGTGGAAAAGATACTTGTCACACAAAAAAATACCAGATGAATGAAACAAAATGACAACAGTATAGTTATCTAGTATTGACCAACTTGATTTCAGTACTGTAGGTAGAGAATTTGAAATATAGAAGCCAAATATTTGGAAACATGAATGTTTAAGTTCTAGATTTAGGAGTAGTCTGTGGTTTGAGCCTTATGTAATGAATGACCTTCCCAAAATGACACTATTATGTGATATAATGTAATGCTATGATTATATTTTTTTGCCATAGAAAATTGCTTTATGGAGTAAATGAAATTTCCGTGAAAGTGCCTTCTGTTTTTAAGCTTCTAATTAAGGAGGTAAGACTATTGTACATGTGTCAGCCTTTTTGATCAGTGGATTTGTCAAGTTGTAAAGAGCCATGATTTAAGTAATAAGATATTCTTAGTTTTCTGTTTTCTGACTTTTTTGTTGTTGGTTTTTGTTTTTACTCGGAGAGTAACACTGGTAGAGAGATAATTTGACGTATGACTTATCTTTTTCCTTGTTTTTTTTTTTGCTTTTCTTGTATGTAGAAGTTTTTCCTTTTCCTTTCCTTTCTTCCCTAAGGAAGTCACACACGTAAATCTTTCTCTTACAGGTGTATACTCCTGTCTTTTTTAGTTTTTTATTTTTAAACAATTTATCATGTTTTATTCTTTACATGGCATTTTGTGGTACATTATTGGAAACTAGATGTTATTACCAAAAGTTTGGAGTAGAAAACATGACGCGATGATCATATAGAGGAATTTGCACTGTAGCCTGGGAGGAAAACGTGTTAATAGTTGTAGTGACTGTTCAGTTGTAAGTGCTGTAGAACAGGTATGAGCAAAGGTGGTGCATGGAAAGGAAGGGAGGAAGGGATGTTGCCTAGCAGCATTAGGCTCTCCAGTTTGTCTTTTGTTTTTTATTTATTTATTTATTTTTGCTAAAGATCAAGTTAGCTGCACTGAGTGAATACTTTTAGTAGAAATAACATTTTTTCCCATCAATTCTTGAGATTGGCCATATAATGTTGCTGTAGAACATAGCAAAGTGATTAGGAATTAGAAAGCGTGGTTTGTAATATGGTTCCATCGGTAACTAGCTTTGATCATCAGAAAAATCTTTCTCTTTGCTGCTCTTTTATCTATAAAAGTAAAGTAAATTCTTTCTGAATATCTCATCTGATTTGGAAGTAACATGGGACTATATATGTGAAGTGCCTTGAAAAGTATGGAAGCATTAACTTTAAGACATTGGGGGTTTACTAATGAAATTGGATAAATGAAGTCCATTGCAGGGCTCCTGTATCTCTTTATACAGATTTTAATCTTTAATTATTTTCTTAGAGAAAGCAAAACAGTGTAACTTATATTTTTCTTCCCTTGGGACTGTAGCAAACCTTTGACTTAAAAGTAAAAATTATATTTATAGTTCATAAAAAGTAAATGTATGTTCCAATTGATTAAAACTTTTGTATCTTTTAGGAGCCTAGCACTTATTATTAAGTAAATGTACTTTATTGCTAAAGTAGAATGAAGAAGAGCTAAATTCATACCTTTTAACTGTTTCTAGGTTTGGTGTGAATCAAATGTATGTAAATAATGTAAGCTTATGTACCCAAATGCTAGTAACTGATGGTTAAAAAAAAGTGCTATGCTAATATCTTGTCCTCTTCTTTGGGTAGCAGATGTTGCTGTAGGGATTGTAGAGCTTACCCTGTAGGTGTCCTGTTGGTTATTCCTTAAATGAAAAAGTGGAAAACCTGGTGGTTATAACTGTCTCATTTATTTTTACTTAAAAATCTTGTTTGGGTTTTTTTTTTCCATAGGTTCTCAACCCATTTTACATATTCCAGCTGTTCAGTGTTATACTGTGGTGCACTGATGAATATTATTACTATGCTCTAGCCATTGTCATTATGTCTGTAGTGTCAATCCTAAGTTCCCTATATTCCATTAAAAAGGTAAGTCCATTTATTATGGGTTTCACAACTGTATTTATATTTTGTGAGGTGTATAAAATAGTACTTGGTACAAAGTAATACTCAATATAGCCTTTCTTTTAGTTAATGTGAATATGTTCTTTTTTGTTGTTGTTGTTGAAGAGGGGTAAGACATGTTTCTAAGAGTCAGATTACTACTTGACTTCTTAGAGTCCGTAGGGATCTTCACACAGACTAGAATACTGGTTCTACTGTTTTCAGGGATAAAGCGTTTTCTTATTTAGTTGTAGCTAAAACATTGAATAATTTTTAAATTTTTTAGTTTTGACATTTTTAAAGGCAGAGTTATAAGCATTCATTGTATTAACTTACATTATTTTATAGCATCCTTGCTTTTTAATATATTGAAGAGTGGGTTTATATTGGCTCCTTTTGAAAAACATTTTTTTTAAATTTCAGCAATATATTATGTTGCATGACATGGTGGCAGCTCATAGTACTGTGAGAGTCTCAGTTTGCAGAGTAAATGAGGGTAAGTACTTCAGGTGACTCTTGACAAAAATAAACCAAAAAAGGTTTATATTAAGCAATAATATTTGAAGCAAGCCATGTGTAATATATATATATATATATATACACACACAAATTAATTTCTTAAGAAATAAAACTGTTTTGATTTGTACTCATCTTTGAGATTATATCAAATTCATTTATGTAAAATTGTTTCTCCTTTTTTTTTACAATGTAACAGATAGTATACTAGGCTTTGAGGATGCAGTGATTACCAAGATGGACATAGTCTTTTTTACCACTGAATTTCAGATGAGTTGGAAAGAGATGATGAATAGTAAAAATAAAGTGTGACAAAGCTATGATAGGGAGAGGTCAGGGAGCTTATTAGATATTAGAGAGAGCTCATTTTACTGTGGCCGTCAGGGATGGTTTCTTTGAAGGTAAGTATTTTTTAGGTGATTGAACTAGTCGGATAAGAGGTAGGTGAGAAGGTGCTGGTACGATGGAGATGAGACTGGGTGAGGAAGAAGGTGCTAAGTGCCCAAAGGCCTGGCGTTTGGTCATCAGAAAAACTGAGAATCAGTGTGGCAAATGTGGACAGCTGATGATGGACAGCTTTTTAAGGCATGTTAAGGAATTTTGACTCATTCCAAAGTGTAATGGAAAGCTATTGAAGGGTTTTAAGCAGCGGAGTCATCTGATCATTATTTGCTTTTTGGAAAAAAATTATTCTGCCTGCCATGTTCACACTGGTTTAGAGGGGAATAATATTCAAGAAGTGGAATGGATCAAGGTGAATGTTGTGGAGATGGAAAGAAATGATATGGGTTTGAAAGATATTTAAATGTGGGCATTAAACAGGATTTCACAATTCATTGGATGCAAGGTGATAGAGCAGTGTCAGGCTGGGAAATGGACTGTGGTGCCATTTGATTAAATAGAAGGAGAAGCAGGATTGTAGGGAAAGATGATGCTATGGACATGTTAGTTTGGTGAAATATTGGAAGAAATAAATAAGAGAGAGGTAGCCACTTAGATTTATCAAGAACAGTAAATCAGTCTCCATTTGCTTGGCTCAGTATACCACATCCAAATAAATGTAAATAGTTTGGCTTAGAAGGTTACTTCCTTCCCCGTGCTTGCTGGTGACTTGCTACTTTAGCTGGGAGTATCTGTCTCCCCTAGCTGCAGTCTTAAATATGTCAGCTAATTGGTGCTCCTCTTCCTGCTCTGCTCCTGCTGAAAATACTGGGGATGCTAGGGCATATGTATCATTCAACTTGTCCTGTTCCCTTTGTTTAGTGTTAACAACACATCACTGATATTTTGCTGCCTGGTAGACTTAAGAAGAGTAGAACTTCTAGTGGTATTAATAGCTTTAAAAGGGTTTTAAAAACCAGGTATCTTATTTAAAAACATTACTGTGTACTAAATATTACTAGAATTCTTTAAAAGTTTCCTCACAGCTTAGTACACTAGTTTTTTAAAATTATTTTTTACAAAAGAGTGTTTGTCCTACAAACTAACGTCACAAACAATACTTTTTCCTTGCCCATTTTTGTTTATAAAGCAGTGTTGTAACTATCTTCTGAGTGTAGTATTAGAACTAGGTGGGAAAAAGAATTAGGGAGTGAGAGAGAATGCCCAAATATAAGACAATCCTAAAGAAAAACTTGTAACTTGGGGAGATCTTTTTAAAAAGTATTTAGCTAACTTGAATGTAATATACAAATTTCTAAGGAAATAACTAGATAAAATGTCACAATATTTGTTATAAATTTATTTAAAATAATATCTAAAATATTAGGACTGTTTTAGGAATATTAGAAGGCAATGAGACTTTATAGGTTATAAGTAGTGGCAGTGAGAAAATGAATACTGTAAAAAAATGCTGTTAAAAGTGAGTATGCTAAAATTTTCAATGCTTTCCTCTGTTTCCAAGGGGTTATAGAAATCTAAGTTTACCTACTGCAGGGGAATCTTGTGAGAACTTACCATTTGCTAAGAAGGCTAGTAGCTGAAATTGATACTTGAGTGTTATTATGAGTGTCAGAGCCCACCCACCTGTTGCATCAGAGGGGACTTGGCATCACCTGTGCACAGTTGGCGTCCTATCAGGGGCAAACCATCCTTAAACATCCTTAAACATCATGTTTGTGAGCCTAAGGAATAGTAAACTTACTTATTAAAACATTTCATTTATTGGAATTTTCCCATTTAACTCCATTATATTTATAGTATCTTGCTGAGATCAGGTGGCCTTTTGTTTGCTTATGTTTATTCTTATGTAAGTTGAAGAATATTCTTTTCAGACTTTCCTTCCCCCACCCCCCACCCCATTTTCTTTCTTTAAATCCAGAAAGTGAAGAGATTTTTTCTACAGACCTTGTACCAGGAGATGTTATGGTCATTCCATTAAATGGGACAGTCATGCCTTGTGATGCAGTACTTATTAATGGTACTTGCATTGTAAATGAAAGCATGTTAACAGGTAAACTAAACAAAATGGGTAAAAATCAGATGAGTTGTTTATAATGATATTGGATTAAGTCGTTACTGATTAATTTATTTCAAAATTAGCTTTGCCATTTGTGTTCTTTATTAGTGTTATGAATGTTGTGGATATAGAAATGTTTGTTTTTATTTTTATTCTGAGGGGACCAAATTCTGCATTATTCTCAGCTCTGATACTAAATCACTATTCTGGCTATCACTGCATTTCTTGGCATGCTTCTGGCCACTCTTGACATGAGGAAATGCTTTATAGTGAGGGAAGAGGAAAGAAGTCCTTAGCCTACAGAGAATGCCGCATATTCACTTCCCTATTTGATGTTTAAAAAGTGACATAGAGACTATATTTCTCGTAAAGTGGGGAGAAGTAGACTTAAAATGATTTCCATTTGGAAATTCACAATCTAAAGATAGACCTTTATATATATTTTTATCACATGAATTTTTTTATTGTCATAGTTAATCTGGTAAGAAAGGGATTTCTATATAATATATTTTCAAATTTAACAATCTTGTCTTAGACTTCTGGTCAAGATGGACGTGTAGGTAGGCATGCTTCGCCTCCTCATGCAACCACAGGGAGAATTAAACTATATCTCAAAACAAACAACAAACAGAACTGTCAGAAAATCAAGCTGTATGGAAGTCTGACAACCAAGGATTTAAGCCATATTCATCCAGATGGGTAGGAGGGGCAGAGTTGTGGAGACAGGTGGAGAGACAGTGGTGGTGGAATGGGCAGTCCCACACTCAAGCGTGGTGGATAAAAGTTGGGAGGGATACCTTGGGAGTGAGTGATCCCAGCTGCAGGCAGACAGCACAACTCAGGGCTCCAGCACTGGAAAGGTAGATCCCTATAACTTCTCACTATGAAAACCAGTGGGGATTAGGGCAGCGGAAGAAACTACTGAACTTTCAGGATACTTCATTTAAGTGGCCCACATGGACTTCGAGCATATGCAAACCCACCTACTCTGGGATTCACCACCAGGGCAATATCTTGAAGGGTGCTAGTTGATTGTGGGAAGTGGATGAAATGACTTGAGACAGACAAATGTTGGGCAGACCTCTAGAAGCTAGGTAGTGACATTTTCCCCTCTCTGAGCCCTCAACCTGCACAGAGCCACAGAGCCATAGAGCCATAAAGTGTATTGCCCCACCCTGTTATTACCTAAGGCTCTACTCCACATGATTTACAGGTGCCTTTTCCAAGAAAAGTCAAAACAGCTCTACCTAATACACCGAAACAAACACAGGGAGGCAGCAAAATTGAGACAAAGAAATACAGCTCAAATGAAAGAACAGAACAAAACCCCAGAAAAAGAACTAAACGAAATGGAGATAACCAATTAGATGCAGAGTTCAAAACACTGGTAATGAGGATGCTCAAAGAACTCATTGAGTATGGCAAAAACATAAGGGAAGAAATGAAGTTTATACTAAGTGACATAAAAATGTACAGGGAACCAACGGTGGAGAGGATGAAGCTGAGAATTAAATCAATGATTTGAAACACAAGGCTGGAAAAAGCATTCAATCAGAATAGCAGGAAGAAAAAATAATTTTTAAAATGATGATAGGTTTAGGAACCCTCTGGGGCAAATGTAAATGTACCCACATCCAAATCATAGGGATGTCAGAAGGAGAAGAGGACAAGCAAGAAATAGAAAACTTATTTGAAAAAATAATGAAAGAAAACTTCCCTAATATGGTGAAGGAAACAGACATACAAGTTTAGGAAGCACAGAGTCCCAAACAAGTTGATCCCAAAGAGGACCACACCAGGACTCACAACTAAAATGCCAAAGGTTAAAGATAAAGAGAGAATCTTAAAAGCAGCAAGAGAAAAGCAGAGAGTTACCTACAAAAGCATTCCCATAAGACTGTCAGCTGATATATCAAAAGAAGCTTTGCAGGCAAAAACAGACTGGCAAGAAGTATTCAAAATGATGAAAAGCAAGGATCTAAAACCTAGATTACTCTATCCAGCAAAGCTATCACTTAGAATGGAAGGGCAAATATAAAGTACTTCCCAGATGAGGTAAAACTAAAGGAGTTCATCATCACCAAGCCATTATTACATGAAATGTTAAAGGGACTTCTTTGAGAAGAAGATCAAGACTATGAACATTAATAGGGCAACAAATTCATAACTATCAACAACTGAATTTAAATAAACAAACTGAGCAAACAAGTAGAATAGGAATAGAATCATAGATATGAAGATTATTCGGAGAGTTATCAGCTGGGAGAGCAAATGGGGAGGATGGAGGAAAAGGTACAGGGATTAAGAAGCATAATTAGTAGGTGTTAAATAGACGGAGGGATATCAAGAATAGTATAGGAAATGAAGAAGCCAAAGAACTTACATGCATGACCCATGGATATATGAACTAAGGGGGGTGGATTGCTGGAGGAGGAGGGTACCAGGCAGCGGGGGGCAAAGAGGGAAAACATTAGGACAACTGTAATAGCATAAACAATATCTAGATAGACAGATAGAAAGAAAGAAAGAAAGAAAGAAAGAAAGAAAGAAAGAAAGAAAGAAAGAAAGAAAGAAAGAAAGAAAGAAAGAAAGAAAGAAATATAAAGAATTTTGTCTTAAGACATATACCTAAATATTCCCACACACTTGTTGGCCCTGAAATGAGAGGTGTGGGTGCTCCACAGAATTAAATTTCAGTGTTACAAAGAATTTAGCTGTTTGTTATTGTTCGAGAGAACTACCATACTACTTATTCTTCTCTCCCTTCTCCAGATGTCTTTTCTCTTTCTTATGCCTGTGTGTATGGTTACTGGGGGGTTAGGAGTAGGTCTTCACATCTCTGCTTGCTTGCAGTCGCAAAGTGCTTTCCACTTTCATTCTTACGTATAAGAGAACAGGTGCTGAGGCTGTAGCAACTTAGCTGGTTTCCTTATTTGAAACTTGACAAAATCATTTCTAAATGATTATCTTTGAATGAAAAATCACTTTTGGAAATTGTGTGAGACAAGATTTGATATTTTGGAACAAGGAAATTGGTAGACAAAAAGCTAATGGAATAAATTATGTTATCCATTTTGAGAACTCTATTTTAATAGCTATTTAAATGGTGTGATAACATTTAGTGTATTCAACATTTCAAGTTCTGTGTGTTTGACACTGATTTCCATGCTTTATTATTATTATTTTTTCTTTTTAAGGAGAAAGTGTTCCAGTGACAAAGACTAATTTGCCAAATCCTTCAGTGGACATAAAAGGAATGGAAGATGAATTATATAGTCCAGAAATACATAAACGACACACTTTGTTTTGTGGGACTACTGTTATTCAAACTCGTTTCTACGCTGGAGAACTTGTCAAAGCCATAGTAGTTAGAACAGGTGAAAAAAACATTTAATCTCTCCTTGCATAGTTTAGCATATCTGATGCCTACATAATGTTTAAAAAGAGATTCTGTGTTGAATATTGTGACAGCTATGTATGGTGCCATTTGGGGTATTGGAAATATCAAGGGGAACACTATGTAAATTATATGATTGTCTGCTAAGCTGTATACCTGAAACCAATGCACACTATAAAATATACACACACCCTGTTTTGAGAGCTAATTCCTATTTTCTTATATGTAATTGTCTTCTTTAATTTTTTTAAAAAGGATTTAGTACTTCCAAAGGACAGCTTGTTCGGTCCATATTGTATCCCAAACCAACTGACTTTAAACTCTACAGAGACGCCTACTTGTTTCTTCTGTGTCTGGTGGCAGTGGCTGCCATTGGGTTTATCTACACTATTATCAATAGCATTTTAAATGAGGTATGTACATGGGACTCCCAGTAGGGTTTGATTCTTAATTGTTGCCTGTGACTACTGAGGATTTGAAAAGTGGGTAGTGAGACTGAAAAACTAAAGTTTTAATTTAAGTTAATTTAACTAAAAAGTCATATGAGACTAGTAGCTACTATATTTGAAAGTACAGATACAGAACATTTTCATCATAGCAGGAAATTCTTTTCAATGGCTTTGGTTTAGATGATGTTTCACTTGCTGTTTAGTGACTTAACAAAGGGAGGGACAACCACATGCTCATCATAAGCTTTATTTTTTTTTTACTTCTGGGATATTTGGCATTAAAATTATTCAGTATTGCTTTATTGGAGGTACTCTTGAGGGACCTCGTCAAATTTCTCTTCCATTCCCTATTGAGACTGGCATAGTATAGTGCTTGTAGTAAAAGCCAACATCTGACAAATGCTTGTTGAACTTTGAAGTGTGTAGTGTATGAAGTATCTAGAGCTGTTAAAATGAGAATTTTCTTTAAAAATAGCTGTTACTCTACAAACCATTCAGAATTCATTGAGCTTTCTATATGGCAGTATCTCTAAATAGAAAATTATAAAGGGCTGATAGATGTGTATTTTATTATATAAAATTAAAAATGGTTTTCACCAAAATACCCTTGCTAGATTAATACCTACTGGGGCTCTGACACTTATTTTTTTGTGATTATAGGTAGAGGTTGGCGTAATAATTATTGAGTCCCTTGATATTATTACAATTACTGTGCCACCAGCACTTCCTGCTGCAATGACTGCTGGTATTGTGTATGCCCAAAGAAGACTGAAAAAAATTGGTATTTTCTGCATCAGTCCTCAAAGGATAAATATCTGTGGACAGCTGAATCTTGTTTGTTTTGACAAGGTTAGTTCAGTTTCATCATTGTTCTCAAAGGTTACTTTGCAGCTTTTAAATACTTAGGTTAATGTTTTCTATATTCTTTATCAATCAATTTGTACTCAGTCCTTTTTTTTATTTTATTGATTATGCTATTGTCCCATTTTTCTCTCCTTTATTCCCCTCTGCCCTCTACCCCACTTCCACCAGCATTCCCCCACCTTAGTTCATGTCCCATGGGTCATACATACAAATCTTTGGCTTCTTCATTTCCCATACTATTTTTAACCTCCCCCTATTTTGTACCCACCATTTATGCTTCTTATCCCCTTTACCTTTTCTCCCATTCTCCCCCTTCCTCCTCCCCACTGGTAACCCTCTGTGTGATCTCCATTTCTGTGAATCTGTTCCTGTTCTAGTTGTTTGCTTAGTTCATTTTTGTTTTCTTAGGTTTGGTTGTTGATAGTTGTGAGTTTGTGCTCGTTACACTGTTCATGGTTTTGATCTTCTTTTTCTTAGATAAGTCCCTTTAACATTTCATATAATAATGGCTTGGTGAGGGTGAACTTTCTTTTAACTTGACCTTATCTGGGAAGCACTTTATCTGCCCTTCCATTCTAAATGAAGTTTTGCTGGGTAGAGCAATCTTGGGTATAGGTCCTCGACTTTCATGACTTGGAATACTTCTTTCCTAGCCCTTCTGGCCTGCAAGGTTTCTTTTGAGAAATCAGCCAACAGTCTTATGGATACTCCTTTGTAGGTAACTGTCTCCTTTTTTCTTGCTGCTTTTAAGATTCTCTCCTGATCTTTAATCTTGGATAATGTAATCATGATGTGCCTTAGTGTGTACTTCCTTTAGTCCAACTTCTTTGGGATTCTCTGGGCTTCCTGGACTTCCTGGAAGTCTATTTCCTTTGCCAGTTTAGGGAAGTTCTCCTTCATTATGTTTTCAAATAAGTTTTCAGTTCCTTGCTCTTCCTCTTCTCCTTCTGGCACAACCCTATGATTCAGATTTTGGAACACTGAAAGTTGTCCTGTAGGTTCCTGAGCCTCTTCTTATTTTTTAAAAATTCTTGTTTCTTCATTCTTTTCTGTTTGGTTGTTTCTTCCTTATGGTCCACTCCATTGATTTGAGTCCCAGTTTCCTTTCCATCACTATTGGTTCTTTGTACATTTTGCTTTATTTCACTTTGTATAGCCTTCACTTTTTCCTCTATTTTGTGCCCATACTCAACCATTTCTGTGAGCATCCTGATTACCAGTGTTTTGAACTCTGCATCTGATAGGTTGGCTATCTCTTCATTGCTTAGTTGTATTTTTTCTGGAGCTTTCATCTGTTCTTTCATTTGGGCCATATTTTTTGTCTCAGCATCTGGTATGTAGTAAGGGGCTGAGCCATAGGTGTTCGCTAGGGTGGGGCATCCCGTGTCTCTGCGTTTTGGCACTGTCTGTGGGGGAGGGGTCCGAGAGGCAGCATTGCTTCTTGCTTGGCTCTTGGCTGGCTTTCAGTCACTTCCCCTGCTACGCACAAGTAAATTGGGCCATTCTGGTTCTATTTCCCGGGTGGATTGTTTTTGTATATTCTAGGACCCTGTGGGTCTTTCCAACGAACTCTCCTGTTAGGCTGGACCTCAACCCTCACAGATTTTTAGAGTCGGAGGTTTTGAGGCTTTATTTCCCCTCATTGGAACCTTACGTTGTGCGGTCTGCCCCACTCCCCAGTTTTTCCTCCCAGCATATCCACACGCAAATGTAGGACTGCCTGTTCCTCCAGCTGCAGTTTCACCCACCCCTGTCCTTTAGCCTCTACCCTGCTATGAGTCCTCTCCACCTGGCTGCCCATTTTTGCCCCTCCTACCAGTGTGGGTGAATGTTTCTTCTTTAACTCCTTGGTTGTCGGATTTCCATACAGTTTGATATTCTGTCAGTTCTGGCTGTTTTTTTGTTTTTAAATTTGTTGTCCTCCTTTTGGTGTGCAAGGAGGCAAAGTGTACCGACCTGCGCCTCCATCTTGGCTGGAAGTCTGCACACATTCCTTAATGTTCCTCTAATTTTGCTCTTTTTTAACTTCCTTGGCATATGAATCAATTTTGTATTTCTCTTCTCATTTTTAATTTTTAGTACTTTGGGTATTGCTTATTTGCCCATATCTGCAGTTGTCTTGAAACTTTCATATCCAGAATTGTGTGTGTTGTTGTAGTAGTAGTAGTAGCTTTCTGATCTGTCATGTTTTTAACAGAACAGGCTTCATACAGATATATTTACTGGAATTTTATTGCTGTTTATGTATGTTTAGTGTTTGCTCCATGATTTTATTGAATATGTTTCAAAATAAGGAAGGACTCTGATTTTTCTGTTTTATGTGAAAATAACAAATTTTGTACTTGGGTGAAATACATCTAGCTTGTTCTCAACAAGAACAAGCTAGTTTTCCTGAACATTTTATTTTGAGAATTAAACCTGGGTAACTGATAAGATAAAAATTTGATTTTGTCCATCTTCATTATTAAAGAGAGGAACATTTTTTTCTCATTTTTACTTTACTTTTTATTATATTTATTGGAGTAACATTGATTAATAAAAGTTTCAAGTGCACAGTGAATTCTATAGTGCATCATCTGTACGTTGTATTATGTGCTCACCACACAACGAAGACAAAATATTTTTAACAGTATTTTGTTGAAAAAAGAAACATCACATCCCAAGACTAAATTTCATATTTTCTGTTAATAAAATTTCACTTATGAAACATTGCTAGGAAATGTTACTAGTAAACTTTTTAAGCAGACACAGAAGTGCAGAAAAGATCAAATGTAATAAACCCTTACATACCCATTACCCAGCTTTTCTAACAGTCACCAGCATTTTGTCGATCTTGTTTAGTCCCTCATTTTGAAAGTGATGCATTTGAAAGTGCATCAGACATTATTTCACCCATATGCCTCAAAGTATGTTTCTCTAGATGTTTTTTTAAAAAACATCACCACAATACCATTATAATTGCTTACTGCATCTAATAAAATTAACAGTTCCTTAGTATTAACATCCAGTTTATATTCAGCTGTTTCTGCCTTTCACAAAATGTCCTAAATTTTTATGTTTGTTTTTTCAGTCAGAATCCAAATGATTGCATTGATTACAATTAACCTGTAACAGTTGCTTTTCTTTCCAATCATCTTGTTGAAGAAATCAGGTCATTTACATCCTGCATTTGGCTGATTGCTTCCCTTGATGTTATTCACTTGTTCCCTTCCTTTTGTGACTTTCTATGTCCTAATCTCTTTATCCTGTGTAGACATCGTTTATTGATTGATAGATTAATTGGCGTATTGTTCCACTTTTGGTTTTTTAATAATATAAGCACATAAGTACACAGATATACACATAAATGCCCACTTATACATAGAGGATCCATACCATGAGGAATATTCTTTATCCTGTTCCCCACTAACTATTTATCCTGGAGTTTGTTGTCTGTCAGCATGCAGGGATCTTACTGTTTCTTTGTTTGTTTGTTTTAAACAGGTGTATAGTACTCCATAATATGTATATAGCAGTTTTTTGTAATTTTTGTTTTGGGAGGCGTTATTCATATTTTGTATGTATACTTTTTTTTAGACTGGAACTCTAACTGAAGATGGTTTAGATCTTTGGGGGATTCAACGAGTGGAAAGTGCACGGTAAATATTAAGTAGCCTTGTTCTTTTTTAGTAAACTTCTAATAAATATTTTAATATGTGAAACATTCAAACATATAAAGAGTAATATAACAGACAGTTGACATGTTGTCATATTTGTTTCAGATGTTTTAAAAGATTAAAAAAATTGCCAATATTGCCAAAGTTTTATTCGGCCCTTTCTCTATCCCTAACATCATTCTGAAATTGTGTTGTTATTATCTTGGCTTTTTTTTGAAGAGAGAGGGGAAGGGAGGGAGAAAGAGAGGGAGAGAAACATCAGCGTGTGGTTGCCTCGTGCACGTCCGTAACTGGGGACCTGGCCCTCCACCCAGGCATGTGCCCTGACTGGGAATTGAACCAGCAACTGTTCGGTTGGCAGTACAGCACTGAATCCACTGAACCACACCAGCCAGGGCTGTCTTCACGTGTTTTTATATTTTCACTGTATACATATCTAACCTATACATAAGACCTATCCATAAAAAATATACATAATTGATATCATGTTTTTGCTGCTTTTTTACTATTAACATTGTTTTGAAGATTTATCAATGTTGATATGTATAGATCTAATTTATTACTCTTTGCTGTTTAGTGTTCCATTATATGATTAAACCACAGTATCTGTTCTTCTACTAATGGACTGTTTCAGTTTTTTTCCTCCCTTTTTCCTTCCACTTCCACAAACAGCATTGTAATTAAAATTCTTATACACAACTTCTTATGAGTGTGTGGTTGAGTTTCAGTCAGCTTTCTAAAAATGTCAGTGGTTATATAGCATAGGCATGGCTACAGTCTTAGTGAGTGTTGCCTAATTGCTCTCCAGGTGATGGTGCTAACTCACTCTCCATTGGTGGATAAGAGCTCCTGTTGCCCTATGTCCTTGCCACACTTCATGTTGTTAGACTCCTGATTTTTGCCAAATGGATAGATATGAAGTGATATTTTATTATGACTTTATTTGTAGTTTCTTCATTACTTATGCAGTTGAGCATAGTTTCGCACTTAGCAAGCACTCTTGTGTTTTGTCAGTTTACAGTCTAATTTTTCTGTTGTGTTCTTAGTCTTTATCTTATTCATTTGTTAGAAGTCCTCTGTTTTCTGAATAGTAATCTTTTTCAGTAGCATGCGTTGCAAAAATGTTCTACCAGTCTGTCTCTTCTTTTTACTTTATTTTTGTTGTTTTTTGGTGCTTAGAAGGTTTACTGGTATAGTTGTGTTTATGTCATTTTTTTTCTCTCAAAAGTCTGTGGGAGTTTGGCTCACTGTTGTTTGGTTCCTGCACTTTCACAGTTGCAAACTTATTTATCCCTACTAATGTAGCTTGCCTTAAATTGTATTTCATCTAATGTTTTTATATGGTTACATACCAGCCTTAATTTGAATCTTTCCTTCTTAATTTTTAAAAGATTTTATTTATTTTCAGTAAGAGGGGAAGGGAAGGAGAAAGGGAGGGAGAGAAACATCAATCAGTTGCCCTTCCTATGCCTCCAGTTGGGCACCTGGTCTGCAACCCAGGCATGTGCCCTGACCAGAATCGAGCTGGTAACCTTCTGGTTTGCAGGACCACATCCCAACCCCCTGAGCCATACCAGTTGGGGCACTTCTTAATCTTTTTGCCTCTTACTCTCTTTACTTCTCAGTCTTTCTGTGCCTTGTGTTCACATTTATGGTGGTTTCAGATAAATGCATACACACATTTTCACATACTTCTCACATTTTCCCAGAATTTATGTACATCCTAATTTTTTACTACTTATTAAATTATCAATAATTCATATTAAAAGTCTAAATTGGGGGTATCTTTGTTTTTAAGTGTCCTCAAACACTGTGGATTGTAGAATACTTTGATTATTCTACGCCCTTATATATATTTATTACATAATATTTGATAATTATGATTTGGGTTTTCTATAGTCTGCATGCTAAGATTTACCTAGATTTTTCAAATATCTTTGCTAACCATTGCTTCTTGTATCTCATGCCTATGGATTAAATTCTGTCTTCTGTAACTACATTGATTAATAATTCTCTGTTTCACTATCTCTTGAGTGTTGGTGTAACTGTATAGATTTCTGCATTGACAGTGGTGTTCTGTCAGCACTTTGAAGGACTTACTCCATCTCTCCTGATTGCTTTTGTTATTCCTGTTGAGAATTCTTGCTTATTCTCGTTAGTAATCTTTTTTCTCCTGTGTTGTTTAAAAAATGTTTATCTTTGATTTATACAGTTTCACTATCATCTTTTTATTTGTGCAGGACTCATTTTGCTTCTTTATTCTAAGGATTTATGCTTTTCGACCTCTTTCTGTTTCATTATGGCCTTTCCCCTATTCTTGTTCTTTCTTCACTTAGAAACCCTAACTGTATGTTGGAAAAGAAACTTCATTTAGTTCTTCGCAAATCTCCCTTTCCCTTTTTCCACCCTTTGGTGTCTTGTTCTTCTTCTAAGTCTCTAATTTAAAATCCTTTTTTGCATTTTTTTAGGTTGCCATTCTACAGGGTCCGGCAAAAGTAATGCCATTGAGTATGGTTGGTAGGGTACATGAACGTGTCGCAGGAGATGGACAGCAACTTGAACATTTCACCTAAAATGTCATATGGTGTGCTTGAGTATGAAGTTGCTATGTTACAGAATTACATGCTAATGATTTTGTGATAAAAGATTTTATGTAATGAAAAAGGGGTGTTATTTGTGCCAGACCCTGTATTATATGAAATTTATGGGATTCTAATTCTGTCTTTATTGTGTCTGTTAATTAGTGAAAATTGTTTCCTAGTGCATTTTTAAGTTATGAACTCATCCTTAGCAGGGTTTTCCTGTGAGAGTCCCTCCTTTGTGGTTGTGCTGTGGGAGCTCCTCTCTAGAGAGCTTTGCTTTCACTCGGCCAGAAGCTTGGCCAAGAATGGTATCAGTGGTGCCAGGCAAACTTTAGTGTTATTTTAATAACTTGGGGATTTTCAAACCAGGCAGTAGCAGATGGTAAAACTCAAATCCCATCCTGTTCAGAGAGTTTAGTCCAAACCTGACCTGTGGTTGAATCCTTACTCTCAGTTACGTGCTGTGTTACCTTGGCAAATTACTTAACCTCTCTGCTTCAGTTTTCTCATCTTTAAAATAGGGATAATAGAACAACTTCCTATGCTCTGAGGATGAGATGAGGCAAATATACTTAAAGTTTTTAGCATAGTGCCTAGTGTGCGGCAAATATTATATAGATATTAACTATTTTCTTGAATTTTGGGCGGGGGGATGAAGAGAAATAAGCTTATTGTTAGTTATGCCTTTGTACCTGTGAGTAAATTTTTTTTAATGTACTGTTTTTCCAAGGATGTAGCTCTTGAAGAACACTAGCCGTCTGAGTTTCAAGTCCCCACTTTGTATGTGGCCTAGACTTTGTCTCCTGTTCCATGTGGGTATTTTTGGTGGCTCCCTAAGAAGGCTCCCCTTCCTTCTTTCCTCTCCCCTATGTATTTACAGCATCTGCAAATTTGTACCCCTCTGGTTTTCCTTTCTTTCTATTTTTGGCACTTAAAAATTCGCTTTTGTTTCTTGTGAGCTCAGTTTTACATTTAAAAGATTATGTGTTACACATTCATTTTATGTTTTTGTAAGAGTTTTTCTAATCTACCATATGTCCGTAAGCAGGAGTTTTAATTATTATTTAGTAGCTAGAATTTTCTATAGTGCTTTATCTGGCCTAGGTATTCAGAATCTAGGACAATGCTGTATGTTAGTCATGTATAATTTTCATGGAAGAAAATATATTTGAATCTCTCAAACTTTAGTTACAATGTGCTGAAATGCAAACATTTTATTTTCATTTTTTTAAATTATAAAACTTGAATATTGTTTGAATATTGTTAGAATATTGTCTTGAGTCTTGGAATTTATGAATCTAATTCAGTACATTTTCTGTTTAGTTTTCTTTTGCCAGAAGAAAACGTTTGCAATGAGATGTTGGTAAAGTCTCAGTTTGTTGCATGTATGGCTACTTGCCATTCACTCACAAAAATTGAAGGAGTGCTTTCTGGTGATCCACTTGATTTGAAAATGTTTGAAGCCATTGGATGGGTAAGTTTAATATTTTAAAGCACAAGTAACTTTAGAAAGATAGAGTAAAAATTACCTTACAGAAGTATTTCTGCTGGTTACTTTGATCACAGTCTGCCTTGTACCATGAAAGGAACTATATAATTTTTAAAGCTGCATCACTGGAGAGATCATTATAATTGTATAAAAGAAGTATTTGTTTTAGTTAAAGTGACTCACTTAAACACCTTTAATAGAAGATGACCTGCTCAGAACCCTGCTTTATGTGTATAGTAGATAATCAGCTATCAGCAACTTGGATCGGTAAGCCTGAGTCAGTAAGATGATCTTTGGTGCTACAGTTTATTGGTCAGGTAAAAAATATAGAGCCCTGGCTGGTGTAGCTCAGTGGATTGAGTGTGGGCCTGTGAACCAGAGGATTGAGGTTCAGTACCCAGTCAGGGGGCATGCCTGGGTTGCCGGCCGATTCCCAGCGGGGGATGCACGAGAGGCAACCATACATTGATATTTCTCTCCCTCCCTGCCCCTCTAAAGATAAATAAATAAAAAAATTTAAAATATATATATAGAGAGAGTAGAGATGTGTCTTCATTGTTGTTTGTCCTCATCTTATACTTCCTGTTTCCTTATACACAGAGGTTTGTGTTTGGTTTTCCTTCTACATGTTTTGCTATTGGTAATTTTAATTTATTTGGTTTAATTATCTTCTTTGGTTGTTAACCATTTCACACCATTCAGGTTTTTTTTTTTTTTTTTGAGATTTTTGTTTCTTTTTAGAGAGAGGGGAAGGGATGGAGAAAGAGGGGAGAAACATCGGTGCGTGGTTGCTTCTCGGGGACCTGGCCCAGAACCCAGGCATGTGCCCTGATTGGAATCAAAGCAGCAACCCTTTGGTTCGCAGGCTGGTGTTCAGTCCACAGAGCCACACCAGTCAGGGTGCATTCAGTTCCTTTACATATGCAGTAACAGTTTTGTTTCTAAAGTTCTCTTCTGGCATCTGAATGATTTATTTTCTCTGGGCCAGTATTGGGTTTTTGTGTGTGTGTATTTTTTTTTTCTTCCATGCCCTTAATGTTTTTATATGCTTTTGGTTTTCATTATACATCTTGATAACACTTCATACTTAAGAATGAAGGTCTGATTTGATAACTTTAGGTAGATGCAGTAAAGTTTTTATCCTTGTCCATATATAGGTAAAACCATTTTCTTGAAAAGCATCTCCCCTGAATAAGAAGGCTGACTATTGGGTTTTTGTGTGTTGAGGGCAGCCATCCTTCAGTTTCAAAGGGGCAGAATTAGTCTTCAGGTTGAATTCCTCACATACTCCCACAAGTAGGGCTTTACTCTGGAATATCTCTAGGGAATGACTCCCTTATTTTGTTTTTTTGGTCTTTGATTTAGCTTGACAATTCTGGCTGGTGGGAAATGTTCCCCCCTCTTCTGTATGTCCTTTTGTGTTTATTCTGGGCTCTCGTTTCCTTTATTAGTTATCAATAAGGTTCCAGTTTGACTTTGTGTTCATATTGGAAATCTCCTCTCCCTACTTGCCTTTTTATTTACCTTTACAGGTTTATTTTCTCTGTGTAGTGTGTGTATTGAGATTTTGAGGAGAAAGTAGATGAATGAGTGGATAGGCGCTCTGCCATCTTCTGAAAACTCGCAGTAAACACTGTCAAATTTAATTTTCTAAAGGACACCCACATTGTTTGTAGAGTGTAAAGCAAAATAGTACTGATTCATTTTTGATGTGCTCTCAAGCTTCTCTGCAGTGAATAGGTTTTTAGTAGATTTTAGTGTTTTGTTTGTAGAACTTTAAAAAAATGAGTTAAATAAGTTTGTGTAACAGCGTGTTTTGTTGACTTAATGCTTGGTCTTACCAGAAAGGATCAATGGAATGTTTTTATATAGCTAGTCACTACTGCTCTTTGGTGTGATAGAAGCCCTATAAAATGTATACCAATTTCAGAGATATTAAAGTGTGTCTTAGAATTGGGTAAAATTGGCTAATTGTGTATAGTTCCCTTCCCCATCATTTTCCTGTTGATTGATTCCTCCATTTGTGGAGTCAAATTAGTTTTTTTTTTCATGTATATTTTCAATACAAGTTCTTATTTGAAAATTTTTAACAAAAAAGTTTTTATAGTAAAATTTAAGGGGTTAGGGTAGTGGTATCCTAACTAGAAGAGTGCAAACTGAAACAATAAATTCATATCTTTGGATCTCAATATGTTCTTGACCCATTGGTTCAATTAGTGTATCCTTTATTTCTGACTGGGTCATTTTTATGCTGTTGAGGTCCTCACTAAGTTCCTTGAGCATCGTTATAACCAGTGTTTGGAACTATGCACCTGATAGATTACTTATCTCCACTTTGTTTACTAGCTCTTTTCTGGAGTTTTCATCTGTTCTTTCAAATGGGCCATGTTTGTCTCCTCATTTTGGCAGCCTCCCTGTGTTTGTTTCTATGTCTTAGGTAGAGCTGCTTTGACTCCGTGCTTTGATAGTGTGTCCTAATGTAGTAGGTGTCCTGTAGGGTCCAGTGGCACAGCCACACTTGTCACCCAAGCTGAATACTCGAAGTGTTGCCTTTGTGTGGGCTGAGTATACTTTCTTCTTGTAGTTGAGCCTTGGTTGCTGCTAGCAGATCAATGGGAGGGATTTACCCAGGCCAGTTAGCTGCAAGAACTAGTTGTGGCCACTGACCACCAATTTCTGCCCTCCTTGGAGGATCAGCTGTGCAGGGGCAGGGAGGTGGTTCTCTAGCGTGGTCTGTAGCTGTCCACTGGGTGTGTAGGCTCTGGGGTTTCCTGGGTAGTACAGGCCAAGGTTAACCCCCCACATATGTTTTACGTGAGGCCTCCCTTCCTTAGCTGCAAAGCAATCTGAGATACCTGCTCCTTATGCTGGGCTTGGAGATTTCCCGGTGAAGCCAAGCTGTTACTCTAGTCTGGCTGCCTATAGGACTCATTGAAGCCAGCAGTTGCTTGTTTGATAGGATTTAGGAGCCAAGACCAGTCATTCTTATAGAAAAGCAGCTTGGGTGAGCATGTAAGTTGGGTAGGATAGAGCCACTAGACCTCCAAGGTGGGTCACACAGTGTTAGCCATGTTGATGGAGTCTCAGATATGTCACCAGCCTGCGGGCTCTCTGAAGGACAGTGGCCTCTGCTTGCCCTGATGCCAGACACTTCAGTCTCTCCTTGTGTACCACTGGTACCCTTCAATTTGCCACCCCAGTGCTGGGGCTCAGAGGGAGGGAATCTGAATACATTCCCCAAGCACAAGTAGCTTGTGGGTTCCCTAAGAGGAGGTACTTAGGGCTCCAGCAGCCTCCTCCACCAACTCAGTTCTCGCTGGTTTTTGCAGCCAGAAGTTGTGGGAACTTAGCTTTCTGGCACTGGAATCCTGGCCCTGGGGGCTTGGTGTGGGTCTGGGACTCCTCGCTCCCAAGATATCCCTCCTGAATTTTTATCCTTGTGGGTATGGGGCCAGCTATTCCCTGTCTGCGCTCCTCCTACCAGTCTGGATGGATGTGGTTTCTTCAATTCCATGCTTGTCAGACTATCATTCAACTCAATTTCCAACATTCCTGAGTGATGGTTGTTCTGTATTTAATTGTAATTTTGATGTGGTTGTGCAAAGAGGTGAGCCACATCTGCCTACACTGCCATCTTTATTGAAAGCCCCTAGGTTTGTTTTTATTTCGTTTTATTTATGCTAATAATTTAGTAGTGTTCATTTATTCCTTGGACACTAAAATTTTTTTAACTTCACTGAAAATAGCCATAGTGTTTCATTTAAAAATGGAACCAGTAAATTTAGTTTTATAAATCAGTATGCTGAATATTTTTCTTTCAGATTCTGGAAGAAGCAACTGAAGAAGAAACAGCACTTCATAATAGAATTATGCCAACTGTGGTTCGTCCTCCAAAGCAACTGCTTCCTGAATCGACCCCTGTGGGAAACCAGGAGATGGTGCGAAATCACTTTACGCTAGATTATATTGTTGATACCCGTATTTAATCCTAAATTTGAAATATAAGTAGAAAATGAAATCACATGTCCTTTAACACTCATGCAGATATGAATATTTTAACTGTGTTTATTAGAAACTACACTTGGGCTGTTGCGGGTATTCTTTGTAAAATATTGAGATTTATTTCTTAGTACCATTACTTTACCTTCGTATTTCCTCAGCAGCTTAGTGTCTTGTGGTTTAGATACATGGTGACATGGTGATTAATCCTTTTAAGTTGCACTTGTTTCCTAGAATTTAATAAAAAATATATGTGAGATGCTTTATTTTTGGTTGAATATTTAAATATATTTTCCTTAGTTTATTTTAGGACTTAATGTGTTAATATTTTAGGATAACAGAACATTTGAAAATATTCAAGAATTTTTAAAAAATTGGAAGCAGGGGAGAAGCAACCTTGAAACATGACTTTGAAATAATCAAAGTTCTTTGCTGTTTTTCAGACAATGTTTTGTGGATGCATTATTTTTTTATCTTGAGTATGTTAATGGACTTAACCTGTACTATTTTCTTTGTTCTTTTTGTTTTTAGGAGCTGTTCGAACTTCCAGTAAGTGAAGAATGTTTACTCGTTACCTAAGTATATTTGTTTTAATTCTTAAAGAATAATAAATGCACCCTGACCGGCATGGCTCAGTTGGTTGAGTATTGTCCCATGAAGTGAAAGGTTGTTGGTTCAATTCCCTGTTCGGGCACATGCCTGGGTTGTGGGCCAGGTCCCTGGTCGGGGACATGCAAGAGACAACCAACCGATCAATGTTTCTCTTACACATTGATGTTTCTCTCTCTCTTTTTTTTCCTCCTTTCCCCTTTCTCCAAAAAGTAAAATCTTTTTTTAAAAAGAGACAATAATACATGCTTTGTGCATCTTTTGAAATTATGCAGGCTATTTATGAGATAGGAATTGTTCGCCAGTTCCCCTTTTCTTCTGCTTTGCAACGAATGAGTGTGGTTTCAAGGGTCCTGGGGGAGAAGAAAATGGATGCCTACATGAAAGGGGCCCCTGAGGTCATTGCCAGTCTTTGTAAACCTGACACAGGTAAGGAGCCAACTAGGCTTTGTATAAAATTCTGATATTTGTGTAAGTTTGTATTAGCAATTCTAACAGTGATATTTATTTTTTTCTTTTCAAGTTCCTGTTGATTTTGAAAAAGTTTTAGAGGATTACACTAAACAGGGCTTCCGCGTAATTGCTCTTGCACACAAAAAATTGGAGTCAAAACTGACATGGCATAAAGTACAGAATATTAGCAGGTAAGGTTGATGAATAGTTTTTCTACAGTTTTTCCAATAGTGTCATTTATGTTCATGTAAGTCACTTATAATAATTTGTAGTGAGTATTTGCATACATTTAGTAAATATTTAATAAATATACATGCAGTGTTTTTTTAGTTGAGATAAAAGTACAGCTCTTAGGAACTATTTTAAATTTATGTGTTCAGTACTTATTGAGTCCCTCCCCACTATGTGTTGGGCATGTTTTCTTAGGAACATAATTAATGCTTTTTAGTAAATCCACTTCTACAGAGGTTTCTTTTCCCAAATGATCAGCTTGCTCTTACCCAGTAGTTGGAACCAAGTACTTAGAGTATCATGAGTCACAGTGTGCAAGATCTTCTCTACCCCAGACGTCAAATGGTATTACCAGCATCACATTTACTTTCATGTATAGATACAGGTTTTACATTCAAGGATTGTTACATTTGCAGTAACTGATATAGACCTACCTTTTTTCTTTTTTAAGAGGGAGGGGAAGGGAAGGAGAAAGGGAGATAAACATCAGTGTGTGGTTGCCTCTCGCATACCCCCTGCTGGGGTTCTGGCTCACAACCCCGGTGTGTGCCCTGACTGGGAATCAAACCATCAACCCTTTGGTTCACAGGCCAGTGCTCAATCCACTCAGCCACACCAGCCTGGGCTAGACCTACCCTTTGAGGATAGCATTTTAATTTAGGACTCTTTTATGATGTACATGCTTATTTGGCTTGTGAAATAGCCTTTTCTTCCTCCATCCTCACTACCACTATTTATAATTCAGGGACTTAGCTCTTTTTTGTAGTCTTTCCTTTCTGTAATCTATATTGAATACTCCTCCAGAGAAAGCTTTTTAACAATCTCCTACCTGGAATTTTATAAATGGCTCCCTGTCACTGACAGGAGGAATTCACAATCCAGGGATATGCACAGGAAAGAGAACAAAACATGTCGTTTTTTTAAATAGGAAAATTATACAAACAGGTATATATCAGAAAAAAAACATACAAATGAGCATTGAATACATGATAGTGAAAATGATAGGTAGGACACTTTAATTCTTGGGGAACTACAGAATAAAACCACAATGTGACATTACATTTTTCCTGAAATTGGCAAGTTTGATAGTAGCAAGTATTAGCAAAGGTCTGAGAAAATTGTAACAAATGACATATTGCTACTACACTGTTGTAAATCTTAAAGAACATTTAAAGTTGCTTATATCATTTGACCTAGCTAGTGCAGTTTTAGGACTCCACCCTGAAGAATACTTCCTGTGTGTGTAAGTTCATGTTTAAATAGTACAGATAACATAATAATCACCAATAGGGCAGTGATTAAATTATGGACTATTAGAAGTTTAGTTAAATTATTCTAGACAAGTAAAAAGTGTTTGTATTACAGTCCTATTATTCTGAGTGAGAACTGCAGGAGTAGAGTGGGTAGCCAGATTAACTGAAAGGAAAACTACATTAGGAATTCTAACTATAAAACAGCATTTGAGGGATGTGGTCTAATCTTGAATGTCCTCCCCCCCCAAAAAAAGCAACAACTAGGTAATCTGATACATATGCATGATTCAGAGCCAAAATGTAAAATATTATATCCTGATTCCTATGTAGGGCATATTAGGATTTTTTTTTCTTCTCTACAGCTTCACATTTTGCTATTTCCCTTCAAAGAAGTAATGAGTTGAATGTAGTACTTGAGCATGTTTAGTGAGACATCCCTTTTCACCTAGGATTTCAAGATGCAACTTCACCAGTTGTGGCAGAACTGTCACACTTTGGTGACCACACACGAATGCCCTCGGATAGGCTATTTCTTCTACACAGAATACCCTGTCCTTCCCTATCAACTTTTCTCTCTGTGCTCCCCTTCATTCTCCTCCTTCAACTGAGACCTTCTCTGTGTTTTCATTATGCCTTCTGAGACTAGGTTGAACCTTTGTATCTCAAATTAAATATTGTACTGTTCATTCAAGAGAGGGCAAAATTTCCATGACCTGTGTCATAGGAAAGTTAGGAAACCAGCTGCAGCCAGAAACTGCTAGTACCTCATAGGAAAATGGCTGCAGTGCTTTTGACTACTGAGTAGTTCCACGTTTGTAGAGCTTTGTGCTTTGAATTGCGTTTTTAGGTTTCAAGGCTTGCTTTCTTCTGTTGTCACCATTAATATCATTTGTGTTAAGTTTTCTACTTTTTAACCCCTTTAGTACCCATTGTTATAAAATACATTCTGAAGATGTTTAGGTGTATAGCTATGTAAAGGACTTTTGTTAAATTTTATGTAGAAAAACCAGTTGGTTACCGCAGGTCTGAAATTTTGATCCCTAATCTCAAGCTCCCTTTCTCCATTGGAAAAAAATCTCTTATTTAATTTTGGTACCTATAGATTTCTTAACACAACCATCACTGAACAGACTTCATCTCCATTATAGTGCTGAAGTGCATATTATTTTCTCATGCATCCCTTGCTTGCTTGTCTGTTTCCTCACAAAAGCATATTGAGAGTAGAGATCATGCCTTTTCTTTCATCTTTGACATCCCAGTGACTACCATATACTTGATGCATTCATTATATAGTCAGCTATCTGACAGAATAGCATCTTGGTAACTATTGAACATGAATAAATATTCCAAAAGACTTATCTGTGGATTCCAAGTAGATCTTGTTGGATTGCTAATGTTTCTTAGATCACACTTCAGGGATCAACAAGTTGATCGAGAATTTTATAAAATTCACCAAAAACTTGAAAATGAATGTAGTATGATTATATCAAATGTGCTTATGGGACAGGGTTTTTTTTTTCTTTTTTACTTTTATTGAAGTTAGGGTATGTTGTATGGGGACAGTAAAAACAGATTTATTTGTGCTTGCTAATTTGGTTTGTAGGACATAAGATGAACATTCCTTAATACTACAAGTGTTTAGTGTCTTATTAAGGTATACAGTTCTCCCTTGATATCTGTGTGGGGACTGGTTCCCAGGTCCCATCTGGGGATATGAAAAGCAACTATACCTTTCCAAATGATTCCTACATTCCTGCATTTAAATGGAGGAAATTTAATTTCAAAATGTATTTCTTGGGAATTAATTGTTTTTCCAGGTTGAAAATTTTTGAGATGCTGAACTCAAACATGTAGGGTTTATTTCTGTATATGAAATGTCTTGGTTTATAATTTATGGATATTTTAAGTCACTTTATCACTATAAAGAGAAAATAACCTATTCTCTTGACTAAACCATTATGTGTTAAAATTTCTTTTTCTGTAGAGATGCCATTGAAAACAACATGGATTTTATGGGATTAATTATAATGCAGAACAAATTAAAGCAAGAAACCCCTGCAGTACTTGAAGACTTGCATAAAGCCAACATTCGCACTGTCATGGTCACAGGTTAGACTTTATAAAAGGACACAGAAAAAATTGAGTGTGACTCTGAGTTTAAGATATATAATACTGAGGAATGATCAGTTCATTGTAAAAGCCTGTTATATAGTGGCTCCATCCTACATTGCCCTGTTTCAGCTCTGAATATTTTTCAAGGTATAAGATAACTTTGCAATACCCTTTTGAGGTCTAACAAATTCTGTTTATAGAGTATAACTACTATAGCTGACTGATCCTCCTGTTGTTATAGTAGTATTGATAATATTAGATAGTTGCCATTCCTTAGCTATGTGAAATAGTGGCAGCTCTGAGTATTTTTTTTTCTTAGTAAATAATCAGAATTAAGGTATTCACTTATAGCCTTGGGTGATGTAGCTCAGTGGATTGAGCGCAGGCCTGTGAACCAGAGGCTTGCCAGTTCAATTCCCAGTCAGGGCACATGCCTGGGTTGCGGGCCAGGTCCCCAGTGAGGGGTGTGTGAGAGGCAACCACACACTGATATTTCTCTCCCTTTCTTTCCCTTTCCCTTCTCCTCTCTCTAAAAGTAGATAAAATCTTTTTTTTTAATATGTTCACTTAAAAGATATTCACTTATGGCATTTATGTGTTCAGCAAGACTTATGTGGTAAAGGCCTGAACACATTTTCATGCTTTAGACTGTGAGATTCAACTGGTAGCATACTTATTACTATAGAGCTCAAGAACTAAATTTATTAGTGTCCCAGCAGTTCTTGGTTTTTATGATGCCTTCAGAGCACTTTCCATCTCTGTCTCTTTCCCCTCTTTCTCTGCCACGACTGACTGTGGTTTTGTTGTCCCAAGGGGTCTACCTGGTCACAGGGAGGCACCCTTGGAAAAAGAGTGTGGGAGTTTGGGGAAAAAGTAACGTTGCCCCTCAGTTCTGATAGCAGTGGGCTCCCAAGGCCTTTGCCAGCTTCTCCTGTAAGCTGATATTTTCTTCTCTTGATCTCGTCCGTATAGTGCTGCTCTTTTTTTCTTTCTCATGACTAAGAAGTTTCCTGTCTTGCTTCTCTTTACATTTTGTAAAGATTATATTCTTACTGTCTTGCTTATCTTTTAGTTTTGTGTAGTCTTCCTTTTGTAATTCATTCTTTTTTTCTTTTTCTGTGATACTACTTGAGTATTCTTGTACGGATCACCAGTCACTCCTAGGTTATTTCAACAAGTATTCATTGAGCACCTGCTCCGCATGTAGCACTGTGCCAGGTATTGAATGGGCACTGCTAGTGAATGGCTCAAAAAGATCGAGAATGTATTTGGTTTTAAAAATTGTGGGTTAGAAGGTTCCAACTATTCAGTATATATATGCATGAGTTATTTGAGGCTTTCTTTGATAAGTATGTTCTGATTTTATTACTTTTAAGCTCCAAGAGTAAAGACCATACATTATCTTCATTTTGCTCAGCCTATGTGGGGGGGGGACCCTAGTAAATTCTGAATAAGTACTTGTTGGTTAATACATTTATATTCCTATTTTAATTTTTATGTGTTTTCAATATTTTGAAAATTAGGTGACAACATGTTGACTGCTGTCTCTGTGGCCAGAGACTGTGGAATGATACTACCTCAGGATAAAGTTATTATTGCTGAAGCGTTACCTCCAAAGGATGGAAAAGTGGCCAAGATCAATTGGCATTATGCAGACTCCCTAACACAGTGCAGTAATTCATTAGCAATTAACTCGGAGGTAATGTCAAGATGAGTTTTCGCTTTTGTAGCTTGCTTGTTTTAACTTTAGTCTAAAGAAATAAAATGTGGTACATTAAAATACAGCAAAACAAAAAGCAAACAAAAACAGAAGCCTGGGTTTCTGAATCATTAGAGTCAGGAATCTCAATGTTTAAATTTTGATAGATAAAGTTGAGAAGCACAATTTTAAGTATACGAATTCCAAACATTTATCCTATTTTAAAAGTAGTGATATAAAAATATTTTTTAAAAAAGTAGTGATAAATGATGCACGTGGGCAGTAATATTCAGTTCATGGGTCATTTCAAATTGAAGCAGATATTTAGCCTTCTTTAAATTTTTCATTTTTAATAAACATAAATCCCCTTAAAATTGTGTTTCCCTTTACTTTCAATAAATGTTAAACTCTCAGTGTCTTAAAATATCAGATGAAAGAATTTAGTTTTGGGTCAACTATTTTTAAAATAAGGTAGTGTTACTTGGTTTGGCTACCTAAATATTGTTCTGAATGTCATATACACAGGCTATTCCAATTAAATTGGCCCATAATAGCTTAGAGGATCTTCAGGTGACTCGTTTTCATTTTGCCATGAATGGAAAATCATTTTCAGTGATACTGGAGCATTTTCAAGACCTCGTTCCTAAGGTTAGTGATTTGGGTTTGTGTATTCATTCACATGAATACATCGTTAACAGTATTTTAAAGAAATTCATATTTTTTCCAGTTGATGTTGCATGGCACCGTGTTTGCTCGTATGGCACCTGATCAGAAGACACAATTGATAGAAGCACTGCAAAATGTAGAGTAAGTATTGGTGTGCTTGTGTTTTCTTAAAATTGAATTGTTTCATTTTCAACCCCCCAAAAGTATTAATAACTAATATTTCACATGTATAATATTGTCCCCTATTAGGTAGGTGATAACTTTGTCTATTTAAAAGAGGCTTATGTGTTCATGTAGGATCTTGCAGCTGAAGTATAATAGCGACAATTTCTTTTCTGGGTAATCTGTGAGGTAGAGTTCATTCATTTCGGTTTGACAGAAATGACTGTATAGTTTTAGTAAATTATTATGTTTCAAGTTTTTAAGGGAGAACTCTTTACTGATAGCCCTAAAGTAAGTGTCTAAAGTCTATGCAAGCCCAAGTACTTTGCTCTAAAGATGAGGCAGTTAAGGGGCCCTGGCTTGTGTGGCTCAAGTGGATTGAGTGCTGGGCTGTGAACCAAAAGGAGATTGAGATGTCAAAATGAGAAACTGATTTGTCCATCTTGTGACAGAAAAAGGACAATACCAAGGTCATTTGAGATGCAGGCCGGTGCTGTTCGCAAAGCAACACACCTGTGGTCATTGTAATGAAAAGATTTGTTTGTTTCACTGGGAAAATCTTGGTTTCTTAGCTCCCCATAATACTATATTAGAGAAATCTTTAATTAAATATTGTATATTTTAAGAAATTAATCAAAATCTTAATTTTTGTTTCCTAGTTACTTTGTTGGGATGTGTGGTGATGGTGCAAATGATTGTGGTGTAAGTACAATTTTGTGATTTATAGTTTCTTCTTTACTCATCTAAGGCACATTCACAAAACTCAGCCAGTTTCCTTTTTCAAACTTTTAGGCTCTGAAGAGGGCGCATGGAGGCATTTCCTTATCAGAGCTCGAGGCTTCAGTGGCATCTCCCTTTACCTCCAAAACTCCTAGTATTTCCTGTGTGCCAAACCTTATCAGGTAGTACGAATTGAAAATTTTCCCAGAACCTCTATTGCTTGCTTTAATTAAAGAAAATAAATTTATCATAGAAACTGATGTGAATATGTTTGGTATATTTTATGTTACTTATTAGCGATAGATTGACTTTTATTCCCTATCTCTTGCAGTTCTGTTTTGGCTTAGTTCTTTGGGTAGAAATGTGCTTTATTGTAACTGTTGAATGTAGATGTTCATCTGTCAAGATATGATTGTGGTTTGGGGGAGGAGTTTAAAATGCCTTATTCACACGCCAACATTTGTTTTCACAGGGAAGGCCGTGCTGCTTTAATGACTTCCTTCTGTGTGTTTAAATTTATGGCTTTGTACAGCATTATACAATACTTCAGTGTTACTCTACTGTATTCCGTGAGTACTGATATTTCTTACAGAGAGGGCACTTAGTGTTAAAAACATTTAAATTAAGATTTGAGCCTATATGTTTGATTTTGAATGCATCCATTAATTATGGAACTTACTTAAGTAGCTATGAATGTTTCTGTAGTTTGCTACTATGTTTTGTGTAGCAAATTGAAAAATCTCATTAATATGGAATAACATTTTCCTTAAGGCCAACAACTAGGGCTGAATCTTGTGAGTAAAAGATGATTGTTTGTTTTTTGCCTTTAGCACAGATTGGACATCTCTCTTAGAATTCTTCCAAATGTCAAGCTGTGACATATTTTAGAAGTACAGTTAACTTTGCAATAGATTTACAGGAAAAGTCCAGAATGAGAAATGATGTTTCAGCCATAGTTGTAGGATATTATGAGTTTGGAGAAAAAGCTTGGACAGTGGTGTCCTTAGGTACTCCATCTGATTTTATACTTGAAGTGATCTTACTTTAGACATATCTCTGTCTGGAGTGTCCAGCCTGCAGGCAGCATTCAGCCCAGGATGGCTATGAATGCAGCCCAACACAAAAACATAAATGTACTTAAAACTGTTTTTTTGCTCATCAGTTTTTGTTAGTGTCTGTGTATTTAATATGTGGCCCAAGACAACTCTTCTTTTTCCAGTGTGGTGCAGAGATGCCAAAAGGTTGGACACCCCTGTGAGTCTAAACGAACATCCGTGACATTCCAAGGCATCTTTGTGAAATTATACTTTTTGATAATTTGTAGATAGTATCAGGAGGGATGTTGTTAGATATTAAGGAGACTTCAAGATACTAATATTCAAGGATATTGAATATTGTGAGTAAAAGTTTGTGTTTTCCTCTTGCCAGAAAACTTTTGAAAGATTTTTATTGAATGAATTGCAAGGAGATGCCTTTTATACTAATACATTAAACTGAATGTTTGCAAATACATTATATTTCACTGATTTGAATGGCAAATGTATTTAACTTTTTCAGCAGGTCCAAGTACCACTTAGTAGTAATAATTAGCAGGGGTGGAAAAACTAAAACCAGAAAAAAGTGATATGAAAATAGTTCCTGAAAACTAATTATGATTTTAAAAATTACTTCTGTAGGTGTTAAGTAACCTAGGAGATTTCCAGTTTCTCTTCATTGATCTGGCAATCATTTTGGTGGTGGTATTTACAAGTGAGTATTTTGTTTTGTTACTGATTTCAAAGCATATGAAATTCTAATGTGACTTATTAAACTTTGATAAATTTGTATCAGTAATCATAATACTGTGTATACCTTTCTGGATTTCTTGTGAATATTCCCTTTATTACCAATAGCTTATATTTTGCCTCATTTATTTTCTCTCTTCACTCTTTCTGAACTATTTAAGAATAAGTTTGTGTTATTTTGCCCCTTTCCCTCTGAATATTTTAGCATGTTGCCTAAAAGCAAGGCCATTCTATTATATAATTAAACACAATTACAAATAAAGGAAATTTAATGTTGATACTATTATTTACAGCTGATATTCATATGTCTTGTCATATGTTCTAATAATGTCCTTTATACCTTTTTCCCTAGTTCCCTAGCCCAGGATCTAATCAAGGTTCACAGACTTCATGTAATTATCATGTCTGTTTAGTCCAGAATATTGGACTAAATCCAGATTAAATTCTTTAATCCAGAATATTGCATCAGCCTTTTTTGGAAGGCCTTGTGACAGTTCTGATGTATTCTCGTTAGACTTGGGCTATAAATTCCTGGTGGGAATATCATAGGCATTCCTTCTACATACATCTTATAAGGAGACAGAAGATGTTTTTTTTTTCTAGTATTGGTGATGTTCACGTCAAAATAAATAATGATGGTAATAGGATCTGACCCATTTAATCAAATAAAAATTTACAAGTTCATACTGGCAGGCAGACAGGCAGTAAACAAAGGAATAAATGAGTGAATAAATGGGAGAGAAGGAAAAGTTCTTCCTTACAGTAAATGCTAACTAATAAATACAGAAGGAATGAAGGACTTAAACCATGGAAAGATCCTGCCAGGTCTTACTGACATTTTAGGCCAGGTAAATCTTTTTTTCCCCAAAAGGAAAGTGTGGGGTTTTAAAAAATATTTTATTTATTTATCTTTAGAGAGAAAGAAGGGAGGGGGAAAGAGAGGGAGAGAAACATGAATGTGTGGTTGCCTGTCATTTGGCCCCCACTGGGGACCTGGCCCACAACCTAGGCATGTGCCCTGACTGGGAATCAAACTGGTAACCCCTTGGTTCGAAGCCCATGCTCAATCTACTGAGCTACACCAGCCAGGGCTTAGGCCAGGTAACTTTTTTTTTTTATTGTGAGGGATGCTACCAGCATCTCTGATCTCTATCCAACTAGATGCAGTAACACACTCTCCAAGTTGCAACAGCCAAAAGTACCTTCACACATTGTTAGATGTAGCCTGGGGGCAAAATCATGTTGGTTGAGAATGATTTACTTAGACAGTCTTGAATGGATGCTAAAACTAGTGAGTAAAAGTTTGATGAGGAAAGAAATTTTTTACATAGTCTCAATATGCAGATTATTTATGTACAAAGAAACAAATGGTAACTTGAAAGTGGAAGACACTCGGTGGATACCAGTTTAATAAGTAATCAAAGCCTTTTTTAATGTTACTGTTATATTTATATTGCTTCAAACCTTGTTAATGTCTTATTAAGAGGAAGAAATATATAGTAATTTAACTTTAGTTTTGCAATTAAGAATTTAAAAATAAGTTCTTAGTTAAACATACAGGGTGGTGATTAATCTTAGTCTGTATGCTTATATTTAATATTCTTTTTACTTGTATTAATGTTTCCTTTGAATTTCATTAGACTAATTTAAAAAGGACTCCTGAATCATTTTTGGAAAAGCTTAAATTGTTTCCATTTACAGATTACTTATGGACATCTGGCTTGGTTTTTGGACATTTTTCATATGAAACATTCATTAGACAAAAGCAAATTTTTTAAGTTCCTAAATGAATCTGCTTATTTATTTTATAGTGACAAATTAAGTTAGCTACAAACCTTTCATCTTTTTATTCTCAACATAGTGAGTTTAAATCCTGCGTGGAAGGAGCTTGTGGCACAAAGACCGCCGTCAGGCCTCATATCGGGAGCTCTGCTCTTCTCCGTTTTGTCTCAGATCATCATCTGCATTGCGTTTCAATCTTTGGGGTTTTTTTGGGTCAAGCAGCAGCCTTGGTATGAAGTATGGCATCCACAGTCAGAGTAAGTTGGTCAATCCATTTAAAAATTTATGTAAAGTATGTGTAATATACATGTACATAAAAAAATTATATAAAAGTTTTGCATGCAGTGTGATTACACACTTAAGTAATTTGGCCTGTATTTGACTTTATATATCTTGCTTTCCTTATCTGAAAATGAGAACATTGAAATTAATCATTAGGGTCTCTTCTAAACCCAGAATGTGGGTGTGTCTAACTTTCCTAACCCCCGTTTAGGAAATGACATTTTAAAACCTAAATTCTTTTTTTTTTAGAAGTATTTTTTAAAGGTAGAGTCTACAGTTCACAGATCATGATAACATTAATTAATTATACATACAAGCAAGTCACTAAGGTAATTTTGTAGATTTAAATGTTCAGGTGCAAACATTAGTTGATTGAGGGAGATTGCTCATTTTTAAAAGTTTTTAAAGGTTTTAGAAACTTAATATTACTGCTTGCTTATATGTAAATATAAACACTGTGGATGAAAAGGAATAGGTGGGATTTTTCTTAAGAATCTTTCCAGATTTGTAGCACATTAACATTTTGTTACTACTTGACTGTGCTTGTTATGGCTGTTTTAATAATAGATACTGGGGACTTCTCATACTGGACCTATGTACATTTGACAGTTTTGCCCCCCTAGAGGTAGAAAAGAGAGAGCCATAGCTGGAGAATACTGAAGACCATCTCAGTGCCAAGTGCGTTGCTGCACATTTACATATGTTACTTGACTCATTCCCGACAGTGACCCTGTGAATGAGCAGGTGGTGTCCACACTTACAGGTCAGGATAACAGGCTCAGGAATTAAATAATATTTTCTCAGTTACAGCTAAAAAGTGGTAGAGCCAAGGTCAAACCCAAGATCTGTTTATCCTTACTATGCTAAAATTAGAAAATTAAAAAAGCTAGAGGGGCTTTTTGAATATTTTATTTCTTTTTATTTATTTATTTTTTTTAGAGAGCGGGGAAGGGAAGGAGAAAGGGAGAAAAACATTAGTGTGTGGTTGCCTCTCACATGGCCCCCACTGGGGACCTGGCCTGCGACCCAGGCATGTGCCCTGACTGGGAATTGAACTGCAACCCTTTGGTTCACAGCCTGTGCTCAATCCACTGAGCTACACCAGCCAGTGCTATAGGGGCTTTTTAATAATAAAGCCTCTTCTAAGTTTTTCACTGATTGGAATGTGGCTAAAGTGAAAAAAAAACCCCTCAGTGTTCTACCTGGTCTGTATCTCTTAGCTTAATATTGTTGGAGCTTTTGCTATTACCTTATTTCTATTTATTTTATAATAGTGACTTAAAGCAGGTAAGGTAAAATTGTTTTCTTTTGGGAAATTGGTATTGCATTTAGTAATTTAAATATTTTTTGTGTGTTTTAGTGCTTGTAATACAACAGGAAGCCTATATGGGAATTCCTCACATTTGTACAATGAAACTGAAGATGATCCACATAATATACAAAATTATGAAAATACCACAGTGTTTTTTATCTCCAGTTTTCAGTACCTCATAGTGGCAATTGCCTTTTCAAAAGGAAAACCCTTCAGGCAACCTTGCTACAAGAATTGTAGGTTTGACATTTATTACGGTTTCCATCTTGCTTATTTTCTTTAAAAATACTATAAGAAGACTAGAGTGAAAATTGTGATTTATATGTTTACTGTTCTGTTTTCATGTTAGCTTCTACACTAAGTTTAAAGTTAAAGCCACCAGTTCTAAATATTCCTGGTTTTCACATTCTCTTAGTTCTGGCTCTAACTTTTATTTTCACAGTCCATTGCAAAGAGTTAGAATTAGGAGCAGGAACAGAGGCTCCTCAGTTGGAACAAAGGGTGTTACACTTTGCTTCGGGTGGTCCTGCCTGTTCCTTGTTTCTGACACTGGTGCAGCCGGTGTTCACCTGGAATTCTTCACTTCCATGCCCTTTGCATCCTGCAGAAGGGACACATAGGATGGAGACTTGGGCCTCATAGACTTATCTGCCATAGCATTTTTAAAAATTAAATGTTTTAAAATTAAATTTATTGGGGTGACATTGGTTAATAAAACCATGCAGGTTTCAAGTGTACAGTTCTATAACACATCATCTTCATACTGCATTGTGTGCTCACCACCCATAGTCAAGTCTCTTTCCGCTACCATTTATCCCCCGCTTTGCCTTCTTCCTCATCCGTCCACCCCTTTTCCCTCTGATAGCCACCATACTGTTTTCTGTAGCTTTGGGTTTTTTTTAAACCCCTTCACCCAACACCCCAACCCCTCTCCCCTCCGACAGCTGTCTGTTCTCTGTATTTTTGAGTCTGTTTCTGCTTTGCTAGTTTATTTTGTTCATTAGAGTCTACATACAAGTGAGATCATACAGTATTTGTCTTCCTCTGACTGGCTTATTTCACTTAGCAAAATACTTCTCCAGGTCCATTCATGCTGCCATAGCATTTTGATTGATCAGAATTATGGTTTATGGAAAAAAGTCAGTTTCCTTGTGCAAATTGCCAGTTTTATTTTTTAATTGAGAATATACTAATTAACATATGGAACAACATTTCTTTTTTTTTCTGTAATAGAACTTAAGACTATGGCAGCATCTTGGAGTGAATAGTGGTTACTTTTTTGCTGTGGTTGTGAAGAAATGCCAGTGTCTGGTTAGCAAAATGTTAGTTCACAGATTCTGACGTGTCATGGGAATGACAGCTGCTAGCATCTCCATCTCATGTTAGAGTTTACAAGGTTTTTTCACATACATTACCTTGTTTTATACTTATACCCAATGTGGTTTGCATGGCAGGCTTCATTACTTTGTATTTGGACAGGTAAGACTGTTCAAATATAAGTATCTATAATATTAAAGTGTGTGTTGACCTTTTTTTTAGAAAACTGATCATTTTCTAACAATTAGAAACTGTGTTACTGACAATCCTGTAGAACTGTGTTGTAGGACAAAAGCCTTCCATAGAAGATGTATCACTATAGCACTCTCTATAATTAAACTTATTATACAGTGAACTTAGTACTTGACATTGATATCCATGCTTTATTTTTAGTTTAATATTTCTTAAATTTCAAGGAAGTACTGAGCATGCCCAAGGATAGCTAAAACATCTATCAAGGAAAAGTGCTTTCTTTGTATAATGAAAACTGATGTTCAGATTGGTTAGTAAATTACGATAGCCACATCAGAAAAAGTTGGTTTTAAAGATCTAAGTAAATCCACCCTGTATAAGTTCTCCAACAACAAAAAAAAGAGTGAGGAACTGTTGGTAGCCTATTTTTAAAATGTATCTTCTATATTATAATATTTGGGAAACTTCAAAAAAATTAAAGGCTTAGGTATTTTGTATTCCCTTTTAATTGCAGATTGACTTAAATAATAAAACTTAATTGTTGACCACAGGACTATGCTTTTAAAATATGTATTAAAAATTATACTTCAGCAGAAATATAGCCACAAAGCCTTTGTTCTTAAGTGGCTGGCGCATGTCTGTGAGTGGATAAGTGAAGGGCATGCTGTCATGAACATGCCTCCCAAAAAATCCAATGGGAGCAGGAAAGGCAACAGAGGCATATTTTGCTGATTTTCACATCTTTTTGTCTGTAGAGTTCCCTAATCTTGGAATACTGATAAATAAAGAAAGAAAAGCAGGAAAGAAAAGAAATGACTAAAATAAAGTAATGTACAATGTAAAGTATAAATACAGAAGGAAATGAGTGGGGAAAGATTAAGGCTTTACAAGAGCTGACAGCTTTTTATTTTCACTTACAGAGTAGACAGTTAATAGTTCTTTGTTAGTGCTTGCTAGTTGCTGTTCTCTGTATCCAAACAATGTAATCTATTAAATCAGTCTTGAGATTATTATTTTTAAAAAGTCGATCTTAGACATTTAAGTCATTCTCTCTAGAGCTTTTGGCTGTCTTCCAGTGGTTCTATTTGATTCTAAGTAAAATCTAATTTCAGTCTGTGGTTACCCATTTTTAACCCTAGCTTAGCTCAGTTATATTGTTTGACTACATGTGATTTCTTAGGATTTTGGCTTCAGTTTTTGCCAATTTCTTATTTGATCCCAGTCGACTGCTTGTGAAATCTGTATCTTTTCTTAGTCTGTGAAGGCATTATTACTTAACTGCTACTATCTCTCCTACTCTTGGCCTATGTATCATTTTCCTGTTCGCCCGCCATGCCTGAACTGATGGGCGCAGTTATCTAGCAGCCCTGCAGGTGGTCTTCTAAAAGACAAGTAACTGAGTAAGGGGGGGGGCATGGGAATAAAGAGATGAAATTTGTGGCTGTAGGTCAGGAGATCCTAGTTAGTATTTCTGAGGAAGAAAGGAGAGAGGTCTGTATCAACTATAGAGAAGTATTGTGGGCTTTTCTACTCGATGTGCGGTTTTGTTTTTGAGTCATTAAAGGAAATATGAAGGAAATTCTTTATGGTGCCTTACTTTGGAAATTCTTTATGGTGCCTTACTTTGGTGTCATATTCTATCGAAAGGATCTGGTATCATTAACAAATCTGTAATGCCATAAGCTGGGACATATTTGATAACTTGAGTTTACATATTATGTTGCATTTTAAGTACTTAAATCTACTCTTTCCTAAAGGACCCTCATATTTTCATTTTATGGTAAAATTTGACTCAGAATGACTTGCTTGTGTTCACAAGCTTTGTGGCAGAAGCTAAAACAATCTAAATATTTAACTTAAGGAGCATACTCCCCTGGCCCTAAATCACTACCAGCACAGAATTTGTTTTGGTAGCTGTTTTCTGGTGAAGAGTACTTGCACTCTGATAGGATTACTTACAAATTACTGACCAGGCCAGAAGTGATGTTGAAAGCATAGTGCACTGGAAAATCATACCTCTCTAAAATGAACAGCTGAATTTTTCCATTCTTGGTTGAAGTCCTTATTGGTCCTTTTATTTGAGTGATTACATAAATCTGCCAGCTATCCACCTCCCATGTCAAATGAATAGTGCCTCTTTTTCTCCCCCTGGAGAAATAGAGGACATTCAATTATTTGTTTTCTCCTTTGCATGGAGATCTCGGCAGAGTTTTAGAGGTATGATAAAAGGGGGTTGCTCTAGGAGAAAAGCAGGAAGATTTGAGAAACAGTGTTGAGGTAGATGTAAGAAGTTTCTGTGCCTGAGTAAATTTTTTCATCTTGCAACACGCCAGGAACTTGATTGCAAATCTATTTTTGCTTATAGCTGTGAAAATGCAGTAGAATTTGAAAAACATTCAATATGGGCTTTACTTTATTGGAGCAAAAGTACTTCTCTCTCTACATCTCTCTTTGGCATTTGTATTCTGACCATTTCTTTTTGTCTTTTTTCTTTTTAGTTTGTGTGTGTGTGTGTGTGTGTGTGTGTGTGTGTGTATTTACAGCTGGCATTTTTCTAAACACTTTTTCTTTAACTGACCACAATAGCTATTTAAATGACTATATAACTTATTTACTAGAAAACAATATGTGTGTTTATAACTGTTTTATAGAACAGTAAATATTAGCCCACAATTTTGAACATACTAATAAAGTTAATATTTATAAATGACTCCCACATTTAATACTACTGTTGAGACCCCTTCATTTAATATAGGATATTGACTCCTTTATCCAGTATGAAGTCTTCATGATAAAGTTTTGGTCTTAGTAAAGTTTGAGTTTAAAGCTGATGTCAAATAGGAACTTGTAAATAAATATCCAGATGAAAGAAACAAAGGGGGTGAAAGTTGAGGCCTGTCAATGTAATCAGGAAATTCCTGAGCCTCCTTCGTGGCTTGTGGTGTAAGGGTGTGCTTATACACATGCGTGCACGTGCACACACAGTTAATAAAAGGACTACGAGCAGAAGGGTTTTTGTCGAGTTGTAAAAGTGATTCAAAGTACTGTTGGGTGGGATTTACTATTTCTAGCTTTCACAGTCAGCCATAGGGGTGGCCCACATTTAAAATAATCAACTCAGTTTTTAGGTTTTAGCTAACATTTTCTGTGGAAATATTTTCAGGGAAGAAGTCAAATGAAAAAGTGGAATTCACATAATGGAAATATACTTTCCTTCAACTTAGAAGGCCTCTATTTAGGATTATAACATACCTAATACTGAAATAAATGTTATTCAGCATTTTTACAATCAGCAGTAATTGTCATTGCATGCATGTTTAAATGATTATCTCATTTTGCCATACATAGTCTAGTCTCCTGTTTGTGAATTGTTTATAGGCTTGATTATCTTACATAGGAGCTATCTGGGAGAAATACAAATAAATGTCCATAAAGGTCTGTCTCTCACTTCTTAAAATGCTGTGTATTTTGATATCACATAAATGTATCCTTTGGGCCTGAATGATGTGTTATACTCTAGGAAATAACATAGAGCATTCTTTATGTATATCATCAACCTGAATAGAAGCATTTGGCATTCAAAACCAATTCAGGGTGGACAGTAGTGACAGTGTACCAGTTGTTGCTATACAACATTTTGTATAAAGGAACTTCCTGATTTAACTGTTTTATCTTATTTTTCAGATCTTTTTGTCGTGTCTGTGATTACTTTGTATGCTTTCATATTATTCATCATGTTGAATCCAGTTGCCTCTATTGACCAGGTTCTTCAGGTAAGGCTTAATTTAAGAACATGAATATTACTGCTTGTCTGAGGAGTGATAGTATCTGGGGCATTCACAGAGAATGACACGTTAGTATTAATTTACATAGCGAATGAGACTTCTGGATGTTTGCAGTGGCTTGAAATGTATTCCTCTGCTCTTACTGTACTGGGGAAAGATTAAACTTTTATGTTTCTTTTTCCCAGGACCTCCTTTTTCTAATTTTTCTAAGATACAGTTATATGAATCTAAAGATAACCTGTAATGAATAAAAAACATAGCATAATTAAAACAGCAGCTTTTATTGACTCTACTTGCTGTTTTATTTTTATTTCTTGTTTCTTCAGTTTGCTTTTGGTTCCATTTTCCTTTCTCTACAAGTAAATGTCTCTTGGTCTTTAAAAACAAAAAACTTTGATTCTGTGATTTGATCTGTTCCTTACCAACCTACTTCTTTACTTCTTGAGAATGATGAAATAGTTATCATATACAAAAGAATATGCACACATTTAAGTTGTTAAGCATAATAACACAATAACACCCTTAAGCCCATTATCAAACCTAAAAAAGGTCACATCACCAACACAAGGCACTGTTGCCTGACATTGTCCCAAGCACCCTGAAGGAACCCCCATTCTGATTTTGACCTCATTGTCTTTATATTTATAGGTATGAAGTCATAAAGGATAGTTTTGCTTGTTTTTGAACTTTATGAAATGGTGTCTTGCTGTATCTGTGTTGTTCTGTGATTCGCTCCCCCCCCCGTCAGCGTTGTGTCTGAGATTCAACCATGCTGGTACATGGATTTCATTTTTACCACTCTAGGGTTAGGCTGTAATTCATTTCTCCATTCTTTGTTGCTAAATAATTGGGTTATTTTCTTTTTCTGTATTAAGAGGGCTGAACATTCTTGTAGTGTCTCTCAGTGTGAGGGAATGGGAGGTGGTAAACCAAAGAGTGGGGATGGGGTGGCACATCCCGGGTACAGATCTCAAGAGCGTGGTGCATTGCTGTAGAGAATTTAAGTATGGCAGTTAAGCCCACTAAAAGTCCACCTTTTAAAAATATCACCATATGCTGGGAGTTTTAAACAATGTCAGAGATAAAATACTACTTCCACAATCACCCACTCTACCTTGCTGTACCACCAGGGGGGAAGGGTTCTCTGGTTTGTTGTGATGTAAATTGGAGCTTGTGTTCTTCAGCTTTCTCAAATGTGCCAAGTTGTTTTCCAAAGTGATTGTACTAGTTTTATCCTTTCATCATTATATGAGATCCATCGCTACACATCATTGCTGACACTTGTCTAGTGGATGTAAAGTATTAGATCATGATGGTTTTAATTTGCAAAATATAAATTTTAAATTGCTAATTGGGTTGAGCATTTTTCATGTATTTATTGGCCATTTTTATTTACTTTGTGAATTACGTATTCATGCTTTTTACTCTTTTCTATTGGGATGCTGTCTTTTTCTTATTTTTAAGAGTTCCTAATGTATTTGACTACATATGTGATAAATAACTTCTTCCAGTTTGTGGCTTTTCCTTTGTTTATAGTATCCTTTAAAACAATTTGATAAGTTTACAGTAGTCAAGCATAATTTTTTTCTTTATGTTTTGTGCTTTTTTAATCTTAGTTTGGCAGACTGGTTTATCAGAATTATATAGATACTTCTCTTTCATAGTCTTTAAATTCATCTTTATAATTTTATATATAGCCTTTGAGATAGGCATCAGATTTCTTGGTTTTCCTCATAAATGCCCATTTGTTTCAGTATTATTTGTTGAATAGTCTCATCTTTTTCCACTGATCCTTCAGTGAGTGATATCTCTGTCCTCGGTTTTTCATTGCTTGATAGGAGCTCTGTAGCTTCTTTAGTTCTCTTTATCATTCTCTATGCCAGTACCACATTGTCTGGGTTATTAGGACAGTATAAGATATTCCGGTACATGGACTCCTCTCCTCACCTCATATTGTTGTTCATCATGACCTTTTTGTCTGCCTTCAGCTTTTCCTCCTCCATATAAATTTTAAGTTTAGATCATCAAATACTAGGAAAAGCCCTCTTGGAATTGTTGTTAGAAATATATTTGAGGAAAAACCAATTTAGTATCACTTACCGTGAACAATATTTTATTCCACTACTTTAGGTATTGTTGTATGTCTTTTAGTAAAGTATGACAGCTTTTTTTCCTGAATGTTGTAATACAAGTTTTTGTTACATTTATTTCTGGGGTATTATTTTTGTTCCTCTGATAAATACCTGTTTAAAATTATATTTCCTAACTCTTTTATGCTAGTATAAGCAGTACTGATGTCTTATATATTCATCTCATATTTAGCAGGCTTGCGAGGCCTGCTAAACATTTTTAGATTCTCTAGGATTTTTCCCTTTAGATAGTCATCATCTTATAAACAACAGCAAATGTTTTGTTTCTGACAGTTCAGTACTTATACCTTGTGTGTGTTTTTCATGTCTACTAACCTTATTAATGATGGGTGTGATGATAGTGATAGGCTTGTCTTGCCCTTGACTCTAAAGGGAATGAGCCTAATATTTCACCATTGGATACATTATGGGCTATAGGTTTCTGGTATATACTTCTGTCAGGTTGAGGAAGCTTCCTTCTATAGTGCCATTGCCATAAAATAGATGATTAGTTTTATCTAATGCTTTTTTTACAGCTCCTAAAATGATCACACAGTTTTTCTTCCTAGAGAATGTGGTGAATTATAGTTAGACTGGTATTCAGATGTTGAACTAACATTGTATTCCATAAACCCAATTTGGTGATTAATTTTTTTTATACTCTCTGGTATTGGTTGCTTTGATTTTTGTTTAGGATATTTGCTTCTGATTGCATGAGTAAGATCAGACTTAATTTTCCTTTGTTCTATGTTATTGAGAGGTTTGCTATCCTGGAGCCCACTAAGGGTAGCCTCATTAGAACAAAAAACATTCCTGATCCCCAGGAAATCCCAGGGGATTTAGAAGCTCTGTGTGAGACACTTCTGTCACCTCTGTCACTGAGGAAATTACAAGAGTTTTAAGGGCCAGGTGTCATGAACCCGGGACAGCAACCAAATATATATTTCTTAGTATGATGCCTGCCAGTCTGGTTAAGCTACCCTCGTCTTTTGCCTGGATTACTATAGTAGTCATTACCTCTCAAATGCTTCTTGCTAGACTCATAGGTGTTTTTCTAAAACATTAGATTGTATCACTTCTCCGTATCTATCACAGTATCTTAGGTATTCACTCAGTGGACATTTGCTAACTAAAAGGATGAATGCATGAGTGAGATTTTTTCTTTTGCTTTTTTAGGTCTTAGAAATTACAGATTTTAAAGTACAAACTTAGATCATATTTCTTGAATTGATCTGCATAGTTCTTTTTGAATTTGTCTTTATAACAGAGATATTTTAAAAATATATTTTACTGATTATGCCATTACAATTGTCCCATTCTCCCTTCATTCCCCTCCACCCTGCACACCCCCTCCCCCACCATTCCCCTTCTTTAGTTTATGTCCATGTGTCACAAGTTCTTTACATTCTATATTTCCCATACTATTCTTGCCACGCCCCCCCCCCCCCCGTGTCTATTTTCTACTTATTTTCGGTACCTTGTCCCCCCTTTTCCTCCTACCACTCCCCTGTTGCTAACCCTCCATGAGATCTCCATTTCTGTGGTTCTGCTCCTGATCTAGCTGGCCTCTTAGTTTGCTTTTTTTTTTTTTTTTTTTTAGGTGTGGTTGTTAATAACTGTGAGTTGGCTGTCCTTTCACTGTTCATGTTTTTTATCTTCTTTTTCTTAGATAAGTCCCTTTAACATTTCGTATAATAAGGGCTTGGTGATGATGAACTCCTTGAATTTGACCTTATCTGAGAAGCACTTTATCTACCCTTCCATTCTAAATGAAAGCTTTGCTGGATAAAGCAGTCTTGGATGTAGGCCCTTGCCTTTCATGACTTGGAATACTTCTTTCCAGCCCCTTCTTGCCTGTAAGGTCTCTTTTGAGAAATCAGCTGACAGTCTGATGGGAACTCCTTTGTAGGTGACTGTCCCCTTATCTCTTGCTGCTTGTAGAATTCTCTCCTTCATTTTAATCTTGGCTAATGTAATGATGATGTGCTTTGGTGTGTTCCTTCTTGGGTCCAACTTCTTTGAGACTCTCTGAGCTTCCTGGATTTCCTGGAAGTCTATTTCCTTTGCCAGAATGGGGAAGTTCTCCTTTATTATTTGTTCAAATAAGTTTTCCACTCATGTCTCTTCCTCTTCCCCTTCTGGTACCCCTATTAATTTGGATGTTGGAACGTTTAAAGATGTCCTGGAGGTTCCTAAGCCTCTCCTCATGTTTTTGAATTCTTGTTTCTTCATTCTTTTCTGTTTGGTCGTTTTTTCTTCCTTCTGGTCCACTCCTTTCATTTGAGTCCCAGTTTCCTTTCCATTACTATTGGTTTCCTGTGCATTTTCCTTCATTTCACTTAGTTTAGCCTTTATTTTTTCCTCTAATTTGTGACTAAAATCAACCAGTTCTGTGAGCATCCTGATCACCAGTGTTTGGAACTGTGCATCTGATAGGTTGGCTATCTCTTGGTCGCTTAGAAGTATTGGCTCTGGGGCTTTGAGCTGTTCTTCTTGAGCCATAATGTTTTGGTCTGTTCGCGCTTGTTAAAGCATGAGGTGCAGAGCCTTAGGTGTTCACCAGGGCGGGCCACAAACCTTGTCAACTCTAACACCTCCTGCCCTTGGACTGCGGTACTTGCATCCCAGTTACAGAGATTTGAGTACTGTAATTATTAGATCAGTATCTGCCTCAATGTTTAAAGACAGGGTTTTACTTTAAAATAGGGACTTGTTAGAAATGTGTGATCTGGTATAGCATGGGTTATTGAATCTGAGTGATTAGGATTTGACTCTAAACTCAGCCACTTAAATAATTTTTTAACCTTAAGCTTTTTACACTGTGAGTGTTATCATCTGAAAAGTGGACATAATATCTGCCTCATGGCATTGTTGAGAATTGAGTAGATATTCTATGTGAAGGTGCTTATTAGTACATAATAGGAATTCATTTAATTTTAAAGTTACGATATAATGCTATAAATATCAACTAAGTACTGTACTTTTAACTTACAAATTTGTGTCTTACAGATAGTGTGTGTACCATATCAGTGGCGCTTAACTATGCTCATCATTGTTCTTGTCAATGCCCTTGTATCTGTCACGGTGGAGGTAAGCACTTAAGATAGTCAAATGACTGCCTTGCTGCTTTGGGATTCTTGGTGATTTAATGATAATGAGGGAAGAGGACAGGTGGCATTATGGAAGCCCACGAAGTTGCAGTTTTATTTTAGTTAAATTCATTTAGCCCTTTCTTCTGAACTTTTTCATTAGTTAAAGGATATTAGTTAGGTGTACACATACAGATTGGAGAAAATAAGCAATGAGATAGCACGAATCAGTGATTGATAGAAAGGAGAGAAGACTGGTACTGAGAATTGTGGGGGAATATAGGAGGCCCCTCAGTAAAGAGGAAACCACCAAGCTGGCTGGAGCAGGGTGTGGACTGATGCTCGGGTAGCCCATAAACTGGTGACCAAGCATTCAGAGTGGGCAGGCACTACCCAGTCCTTTGGTGTACAATAAACTCCCCTTTTAAAGAAGAAAAAGGAAGGGGGCTTTCTCCATGAAATACATTAAATATTAACAAAAGAGTTTATTGAGAATACAGAATAATGACCATTATTAATCTATTCTCAGCATTGAACACTGGAACTTCCTCCTTGATCTTTGTTTTTCAATTCCCTGTAGAGGGAATTACTCTCCTGTTAGCAGTGCTTTTAGATCCACTTCTATAAAAGGAGCTACTGAGTTCTCATATTTGCCGCTCACTAGTATAATTTGTCTGTTCTCAGAACTGTTACCATTCACTCCTAGAGCAGCAATGTATGAAATGGAAGGAGATAACAGTTGTGATTTTTAAGTTAAGGGTTTCATAGGGCGTGATTTCGGATTAAAATTAGGTAACTTGTGAAATGTTTACCTTAGTGATAAGTTTTTGACTCGGAAATTATGCTTAATTTATTATCTTTCTGAAAGATGATTTGGTATTTGGGCCATAGTGTGCAGCATGGATATTATGGTACAGGTGCTGAACTTTTCAGATCGCCCAGTGGGAATGTGTTTTTGCTATCGTACGTATGCACAACAGAAAGCACATCCAAGACATTGTGTTTTAAAAGCTTTTCTTTTTCTATACTGTAAATTCATCTTTTCACTCAAATGCTTAAGCTAAAATATTTTTTTCAAATAGATTTTTTAGGGAATCGTTTCATAATCCCTCGTAATTTGTTATTCTTGCTCACTATCAAAAGAATTATTTGTATTGGACTCTGATGAAATCATACTCATAGATATAGAATTACTTGTATATATTCAATGGGAATAAATCATTGTTAAGAAAAAGACTTTGAGTTACAAGCATTTTAATATGGGAAAGACCATATAAAAGTAATGTTTTGTGGAAAATTGAGAGGTCTTACGAAGTATTTTATGATGATTTATTGTTTGTTATAGGAGTCATGTTACTGAAATTCTGTATATAAAAATCAAATCATGTTTTTCACTAATGATTCAGCATTGTGTGATTCTCTTTAAATGTGCACATTAATAAAGAATGACTTAGTCATTTTTAATTCTTGACTCACTGGAATATCTCTCAGAACTTCTGCCTTGACACGGTCCTTTGGAAGGTTGTGTTCAATCGAGACAGACAAGGAGAATACCGCTTCACCACCACACAGCCGCCGCAGGTTGGAAATCAGCACTTGCTCTCAATTCTCCGCGTGTACCTAGGCTCTTTCAGTTGTGTCCTCTGCATTCTGTAGAGTGGTGTTCTGTTGTGTGTTGCTCCCACCTTTTTCCTTATGCCTGGCATTTTGTTTCTTATAAGGAGTCCTAGAAAATGCCTGGCAAACCTTTGTTACAAGCTTTTCAGGACTTCAGAAATTTCCAAAGTCTCTTTTTCATTTCAGTCCTTATCATGTATGTGTGAAGGCCTTGTCCCCAGTGGTGAGAGTTAATTTTTCCATTTCTGTTGGGCTTAAATTCTGTGTTTTTGGTTTTTATAAGTCCCATTAGAAACTAAATGAGATTTATGTAAACAAAATATGGGAATTATTTTAAATGGATCACAGTTCAAAGGTCAACATTTTTCAGCAACTATTTTTTGTATCTTTGTATTGTATCTTAATTTTTCATGGCCTTTTGGCTTTCTTCAACATATGTCTCTCATTTAGGAAGATTTTCAAACAGATAGTGCTCATTTTAATACAAACCATGGCTTAGGATTTTTTACTTTTTGAGTCCGTTAAAGAGCCTATTATTTGAAAAATATACAAGCTCTGTGATAAGAAAGAGAAGAGAATCAGATGAATAAAACCCATTTCCTGATGCTAAGGTGCTGATGTGTTTTTTTTTAATAGAAAATACAGGTTAGTCTTATTTTTTAAACTGATGCCACTGAATTACATACAGCTCTACATACAGCTTTTGGGCTGTAAGGAACTTGATAATACAAAGTCTCACCCCCTCATTATCTTACTCATTTGTTTATAGAGTGATGTATTCTAAATCTTTTACTAAAAGCTTCTAAAGATGAATCTTTTACTCAAATTGAGCCACAAGGAGGCTTCTAGAGTTCAAGAGGATTCCTTGGCATTGCTGACTTGGGTCATTTTTTTTAGCCCCTCCCCCGCCCCCAGTAGCAACTTCCTGAGCTTTATTTTGGTTAGTAAGCAGGCTTGGTGCCCGGTGTAATATCCTAAGATCCTTTTATAAGAGTGTCCTGGAGAGTGCCAGTTCCTTTTCCAATGCTTTATGATGGATAGTGATCATGTATAAGGATGAGATGAATTTGGAATCAGCTTCAGGTTCTTTTTCTCAAAGCAGTGTAATGCCCAGCTGGCCCTGATAGTGGGTATGACCCAAGTTGTGTTACAGGCTCAAGTCCTTTAGCCAGATCTCCTCTGTGTGTGTATTTCTTTCCTTTTGGTTACCTCACGCATTATTCGCAGTGTTGACTTGGGCTCATCAGTCCTCATATGAGGTCGTTGTATGGGTAAGGCTCAGGACAAGGAAAACATTTACATCGAGTTTTCAGTTTCTCTAGAGAGATCTTGGACTGTTGATCTAAACAGGAAGTAAATGTAGGTTCTGAGAGTTCTACCCTGATTTAGTCAAAATTGAATATCAAGAAACTCCTTCAAAACATTTGAATTGGAAAGCCCTCTTTACTTTTCAACCCAAATTAAATAACAGAAAATTCTCTCATTTGCTATGTATCTAATTTTTAAAAGTATGTTAGTAAGCATCTGTCCTTACCTTTAAGAGTTGGTGTCTCTCAGGCGAAGTCCTAGCTCTGCAGCATGGAGGGAACAGTGAAGGTGGAGAGAGTGGTCGAGGGCAGGTGGCTGCAGCATGGCCCTCGGGCCTGCCGGTTCTGAGAGTCATTGCACAGATAAGAACTTTAGCCTTCAATGTCTATGGCCACGATTAAGAAAGAATTTTAAAAGATTTTTGCCCTTTAAAGAGAGAGTTTTTATAACCTCTTATCACAGAATGATACACTTTTGTCTTCTGACATGTATGTATGTAATGTGGTGTCACTGTTCATATTTGTGACCTTTCAAGAGCCAGTTAGTCAGTCATATAACTGTAAGGCTGTGGTTCTCAGTCAGGGGCACTCCGTCACCCCCTGGGGACATCTGGCAGTATCTGGACACAATTGGTTGTCATAATTTTGGGTTGGGGGATGTTGCTATTAGCATGTAATTGGGTAGACACCAGGGATTCTGCTGAATGAACATCTTACTTAGTATGCTGGACAGTCCCTCACAACAAAGAATATATAATCCAAGATGTCAGTAGTACCCAGGTTGGAAAAACCCTGCCATAGGTGAAAAAGAAAGTCAAGATCAGTATGACTGGCAGCATTTAGATTTAGAACTTCTGTAGCTTCTATAATTTTCCCTCACCACAAACTATTCCCCATTTGCCCATTCTGTGCTCTTACTATCAAGAATTCGATGAAGTCTTCTCAGACTGAAACTCCCAGCCCTCTCTGTATTAATGTCAGTGGAAGAAAATTTTTGTTTCTTTTTCTTCCTTATCATAGATACTGGGGACAATTGAGCTGAGTTGAAAGCTAGAGACCCTGGACTAAGCTTCAGGTCTTAGACAAATTGGGAAGTTAAGAACCTCACCTGGAAATTTCTAGTAACCATGTCCAAAATATCTGGCGATCTACTAGGCACTGTGCAGTTACTTCCAGGATCCTTTCAATTTTAAGACATTTCTAACTTCATGTTATACATAAAGAAATAGCATTCAGTTCACTTGCCAAGGTTTTGCATTTGATGAATGACAGAATTGAGAGTGGAAGCCAGGGTTTCTGATTTCAAGAGGAGTGTTTTTCCTACTGTATACCACATTACCTCACATATTTTGGACAGTAAAGAGGTAAATTAATATTACAGTCAAATGAGAAAATGGAGACAAACAATAGCTACTGTTTTAATATTCCTTTTTATGGTAGACGCAGTATGAGGCATTTTGTATGAATTCTCTAATTGTTAGAACAACCTTGAGATTCAGGACGTCTTTAATTTCATTGTCTCAATTTTCACAGATGAGGAAACAGTGTTAGAACCAGAATTCAAATTTAGATTTATGTAGACCTAGCTCCATACTCTTTCTATACCAAAAAGTGTCTATTCTTTAAACATGAAATATACTTTTAAGTGTCATTTTTATTTAATGTAGACATTTTAGATATCGTGTTCTTTTTTTAAAAGATTTTGTTTATTTGTTTTTAGAGAGGGGGAAAGGAGGGAGAAGGAGAGGGAGTGAAACATGATGTGTGAGAGAAACAGTGATCCGTTGCCTCTTGCACGCCCAGGAACCTGGCCCACAACCCAGGCACGTGCTCTGACTGGTACTGGAACTGGCAACCTTTTGGTCCCCAGGCTGGTGCTCAATCCACTGAGCCACACCAGCCAGGGCTAGATATTGTGTTCTCTTTGGTCTATTGAATGTTCATGCAGCTAACCTAATTTAGGTACAGGAAGGATTTTTACATAATACTAATTTGTTTCTCATAGTGATTGATTTTTTAAATTTATTTTTATTGTATTTTTTCCATTATCATATATTTTAGTGATTGTTTTTCTTACTGATGTTCAGTGGCCTGAATCAAACTGAAAACAGGCTAAGTAAGCCATGTGTAAATAATCAAAGTTAAAACTTTTATATGGCTAAATCTTTTCCCCCAAATGTTAATACTTATTCTCTGACAAAAAAATAAAAATTTTTGATGCATTAGTGATTTTCAAGCAAAAGTGTTCTTCAAAAACAATGCCTTGAACTTCACCCTTGACCTACTGAATGAAAAACTTTCAGTGGAGGGTCCTATCATATCCATACAGTTTTATCCCTGTTTGAGCAGATCTGTACTGCATATTCTCTTACTAGGAAGCACTAGTGTTGAGCTGGCCAGTGTGACTTGGTTGGAGCACTGTCCCTTAATCAAAAGGTTGCAGGTTTGGTTCTCAGTCAGGGCACGTAATTAGGTTGCAGGTTCCATCCTTGGTCTGGATACATGTGAGAGGCAAACCAATTGATGCTTCTTTCTGGCATTGATGTGTCTCTCTCTCCCTTCCTCTCTCTCTTTCCCTCTCTCTAAAAACAATGAAGTAATGTCCTTGGGTGAGGATTAAAAAAAAAAAGGCAGCAGCACTGCTGTCTGTCTTCTGTCTGGTAAACCGAAGCTGCACAGTGGTAGATGCGGGGCTGAGTTTGTGTCGTTCGACCCTTGATGTGCCTGATGATGTTTTCCTTTTGGGGAGAAGTTCCAAGTGTTAGCTGTAGTCTCTGTGCCACTCAATATTGTTCCAGCTTATTTATTTATATAGAATGTTAATTCTTTTTGTCCTTGTTTTGTATTCAGGATTGTTATGGAAGAGGACTTTCATGAAAACCATAGTACCTTTATAACATTTCCTCTAAGCATAGCTTTATATTTTACATGCCACTCACGAAAACATTTCCTAAAAGAGATTGCAAAAATTGAACAGGCATTGGGGTTCTAGAACGAACAGCTTTTAATGGTCTAAGAAGCAGGAGAATTTTAGCTGTAGATCTTTTCAAAAGTTCTTTATGGTTTGTCTGCTGGTCTGTGGTAGCCTCTCTCCCTTCCCTGAAGGATACACTTGATAATTTCCCCAGGGTGTCCTTTCAGGAGCAGCCAAAAGCTCCAGTTGGCGATGACCCTTGTGTGCTCAGGGACTTTTACCTGCGTGTCTGGGGAGACGCAGGTGCTCACTCTCAGCCCCGTGATGCTCCCCTCTTTGCTTTCTTGTTGCACAGCGCCTGCCTGTGTCCTCTTGCCACCTTCTCTTCCTTGCTTTATTTCTCAACCCAGCATTCCTCTAGCACCTTGTATTTTCCCTGCCAGTGCATTACATTGTGTTTAAGGATGTGTGTGGTGTGTTTGTGCTTGTCAACTTATACTTGCCTGTGTGTATTTTGTGTGTGTGATGTTCGGGGAAGGTGAGAGCACAGGAATAGCGTCTGTGTCTTAATTACAGTGGAGGGGGTATCCCTGCTGTTTCTTGTGACTTAATTTATTTTCTCTGAATTATAACAAGTATAACATTGCTTTTAATAGGGAAATGGGGATTTTTTAAAAACCTGTACCTTAATGTTAAAAAAAACCTATTCAATTGTGATTCTCTTTGCAGTGAAATTAGTTTTAATTTTATTGCTTGCCTCACTCTCCACAGGCAGGGAACAGTGGACTTAGAGATGTGTGTGTATGTCTTCCATTTGAACATACCTGACTGTGACTTCCCTTAACTAAGCTTGCTCTGCATTGCCCCGCAGCCCTGCTTGCTCCTCTGGATAGACAAGGCCTCTATGTTTCTGCTCTTTCATAAAGTCAGCATTCGCCATTAACCTCTTCCTGTGGTCCTTTAACAATGCTACATGCCATAAAATAAAAAGTGACGGCTTTCAGATTGATTTAGGAACAATGATCTTTTCTGCAATAAAATTGAAGACCTTAAACGCCTTGGGGAAAAAGATAGGTCCAAGTAGTGAGCCATCACCTCAGAGTAAATGTTAAGGCTTGTTCCGTATGTGCCTGCACTGGAAAGGAGTTGTCATTTGAGTCACCTGAAGAATCCTGTATCTAGTCTCTTCTGTATCTTAATGCAAAATAGTTTCTTATGGGCTCCTTTTATGGTGATGGTAATAACTCTCTTTTTAGGTAGATGACTAATCTTAAAATCTGTACCTCCCCTCTCCCTGAGGAATTTTAAAGTATACCTTTCTTGAAACCACAGTTTTTGCCTCTAACTTCTTGGTAGCAGTGCAGATTACTGTGTTGTGTTGACAAATCAAACAGACCTCTAAAAGCACATAGTTACTGTTTATCAGGATCTCAGGGCTGCCACACGCCCACGCCAGTTTTGGAGAAGGAAAGAATGGTAGGTTCCTGCTTGTCTCAATAAAGTGAGAAGGCCTGCCAAGTCCAAATATGGAAGGGGTTTAGAAATTTAGAAACATGGTTCAGAATATATATGTTATAGCAAATCTGCCTTTTTTTTGCTCATGAATATATTTTGGATGTTAACATTAGAACACTCATCTCAGTTTTGTTATGCTCCCATTTTGCGAGATTACTTCGATTGAGGTAAGACCTAGTTGTGACCTGGGTTATATGTTGATGGCAAAATAAAATGACCTGGGGTGTAAATTTTGCTTTGAAGAAGCAACAGCCAAAATAATTAAAAACTGACTGTACTTTAGAATTGTTTAGTTTTATTTCATTTCTTTATCACAAATTTTAATTGAGATAAATTCTGAAGGCCTCTATTGAATTTATATTTCTGTATAATAGCAAGGGACTCTGCTGTCTTGTTCTTCAAGAGTTATTTATCTAAGATCACAGCCATTAAAAACATCAGGATTGATTAGAAGGATTTCAGTGACAGCAGAGCTCTTCGTAATGAAATAATACTAAGAAATAGTACTGCTTTATGGCTTTTTATGTACTTCTTTCCAAAGGTGGAACGCCAAGGGAAGCCATTATTATAAAATAAGGTTGTTTTTATATTCATGAAAATATGATTTTAAAAGTAGTGATTGACATTGAACATGATCTAAGTTCTAACTTTGACCTGACAATATTTTCATAATGCCTCATGCTCTGAAACGTGATAGTAACAGTAACAATGATAACTTCACACTGCTCCTTTCAAAGATGACCAGGTGGCTAAGCTGTTAAAAGTAACAGTACGAAGGATAGTTTGGGATAAAATATGCAGGTTCCATATTAAACATTAAAAAGTATCTTCTTTCTGAGTAGTTCCACATTACTCTTAATGCATTAGGTGTTTTGTGATAGCCATATCTTCAAGTTATTTTTTAAATGTGTCCATACACAAAAGGATAGGTATATAAAACTAAATAAAGTAAATTACATTGATAACTAAAAAAACCTGACCTTAAAAAATGTTCCTAAATAATTGAAAGCTGACTTTTTTTTACATGGGTTTTTTTCATTTGTTTGTGCTCAGAAGCCATTCCCCCTTATTCGTGTGTGTGTGTTGATTGATGTACTATGCTTTAACAAACTCATTAAAAACAAGCAGCCTTTAACCTACCAGGGTATTCTTTTGTCCTTATTTTCTTAGGAGTCAGTGGATCAGTGGGGGAAGTGCTGCTTGTCCTGGGTCCTGGACTGTAGGAAGAAGATTCCAAAAGCAAAGTACATGTACCTGGCTCAAGAGCTCTTGGTTGACCCGGAATGGCCGCCCAAACCTCAAACAACAACAGAAGCTAAAGCTTTAGTTAAGGAAAATGGATCGTGTCAGATCCTCACCATAACATAGCAGTGCCGCGTCCGTCTCGGCGGTGTCCTGGTAGCAGTGCTGAACGGAATGTAATTTTAGGACTTTCTGATTCCGTGTGTCAGAAAGGCATCATTTCGATTAATGTTCCTTCTGATACAGTAGCTGATTTGAGAGCTTTGAAAACAAAAGTAAGATTGGCCTGCCAGTTAAATTAATAATCAATCTGAAGTCTTTTTTTCTTCATTCAGTAACTTTGAGGATATATATATATATATATATATATATATATATACACACACACACACACACACACGTCCACAATTTTCTTGCTTGTTACCCTCAATGCTATTCCTTATATGAGGTATAAGAAGAAAATTGGTATTTGGTTTTAGACATTCGCTTTTGAGACTTAGTTTACACCTTTAAATTTATTTTCACAACCCCTCTTAGAAAATGTCCTCATTTATATGTAGGCCCTAAGTTTGTGATGGAGAAGTAAAATGGATGTTAGCCTCTAGTGAAATAGGTAAAAACCCTGTTTTCATTTGATTCCGGTATTTCTTCCAAAGAATTCTGTATGTACATACACCAGATTCCTTTGACAGCCTGGAGTTAAGAGTGAGTTTTATGGTGTTGCTTATAGAACAACTCAGGTGATTTCCACTTATGGTTTTATATTTTCCATACAAATTGCCTGGGTTTTATTTTTCTAATCAGCAAGGTGCTTCACTGCCTTCTTGAGATGTCCCTCAAAATTATTAAATGCCTCCTGTGCTGTCTAGTGTCAGTAGTAGTAGTATAATTTGCTTCAGTTAAATGTCGTAAAACCTTTCTCAGTAGGAAAAAAGATGACTTCTTTCGGCAGTAGATGTGGATCTATCTGTCTAATATCTCTTCATACCTGTTCTGTCAGGTTTTATATTATTTAAGTGCCTTTATTTTCTGCTTTTTTCAAATTGCTTAAAGACATTAGATAATAGTGAGTTAGTTTTATTTTTGTTGTTTTGTTTTAGTTTTATTGAGTTAGACTTTTGCCTTCTAAAATTTTAAAGATTTGATGTATGTCTATTCTATCAATACTAAGGCTTAAAAATGCCTGGTTTAACGACTGCTATTTTTTAAAACAGTATGAACTTGGTAAGTTTGTTTTATGACATTAGGTGGCGCCAGAAGTCAGCGTTTACCTTTTTTTGAATTTGAATTTTATAAGTGAGCATATTTTGTTTGAGGTTGTTTCTGGGAGAAAACAAAAATGGAAATAAATTTCAATATTAGATATTTCTTAGACTAAAAGAAATGTGGATAATATTTTCACCTTTCTATGTTTGCCTGGTTGATGTTTAAATTCTGAACAACGTGAAAGTAACTTGAAGAAGGCCTTTATAGGTCAGCTCCAGCAGTTTGACAAAGCCCGCAGTTACAATACGCAGGAAAACTGGCACTGCTCTACAGCGGACACTGAACTGCCAGAACTCTGGCGTTCGTCTGTGTTCTTCCTCACCCAGCTGCATGCATGTGCTTTCCACTTCCAGCTGATCATTTTCCTGATGTGTACTTACCAGTTTATCAAACGTTACCCAGAACTGTAGAATCAACTGGTTCTCATTTTTTATGGTGCAGCAACCTGAGTGATGTTTGGTAACTATAGAAAAATGTAAGTTACACTCAGGATCACCATTATTGCTATTGGCACTGATGATTCTTACAGAAATGCAATCAGTTTTCCATCAGAAAATACAATAACAGTATGAACACACATTAGATGATAAGGACAATTGTTCCATGAATGATTCTATGAAGCTATGCATCTTAGACCTCTTAAGCTGTGAATTAGCACTGTTTTCTATAGTTACTTACTCTTTTGATTGTTTTATAATTTCCACATTCATTTTCAACATGTACAAGTGTTCTTCAGTGATATCCCAAAATTGTAAATCTAATCTTTGATTTAAATACTGAACTATATAATTAAGGTAATTGCTAAGTAGCAGCTTAAAAACCCAATTATCAGATTGTATTTAACATCTTTAAGAGCATGATCATAAAGAGCTATATTTTTTACACCCTCCCTTTTTTAACATTTAGATTTTATAAGGGTTTTATATCTTGTCTGTCCATGTTGTTTTAAAAGGAATAAGGTTTTTAGGTAGATGGAAAAGCATCTGTAGGAAATTAGATTTGAACGTAGACTAAGTAGTTGTTCAAGTTGTAATCGATGGCTTCCAGAGTAGTATTTGAAGAGTGCCTGTGAATGTAGGTGTGGGTCTACTCAGTGCCGTAGATAGAGTCCTCTCTCTGTAGGTCACCGTTACATAGTAATTTTGATTCTGAATTTCACATTAAATTATTTGAGTGTATACAGACCTAAATTTTAAAATCTGTACATATATTATTTTGGTGTATTAAGATTAATAAGTATTGCTGATTTAAATTTTATTTATGCACATACTTAAGGACAGAAATGTCCAGGAAAGTAATTGTTAAATAATGATATGTAACTTTTTAACTTTTTAAATAAATAACAAGATTTTTAATGTGTGTCTCCCTCAGGGTTGTTTAAAGTTTTTTTTTCTCCCTCAAATATAAATAGTGGTAACTATGTTTTGTATCTTCCAGCACCAACTGCTATAAAGCAATGCTGCAAATAATGCTTGAATAAAAATGGCTAAGCCAACAACAAAGTGTATACTTTTTATATTAGTTTTATAGTCCTTGTACTCGAAAGCTTTCCAAATTGCACGTGCATTTAAACAAAACTGTTGCGGTTTTTACTCTATTTATTTTGTTTTCCCTGTTTATGAAAATACTGCACAGTTTCCAATGCATGGTAAAATATCAGTGTTTATATATTCTGCTTCCAAAATGGCTATACATTCAATATTCAGAGAAAAGCAAAATTCACGCTTTAGAAAACATTCTAAGATTTCTTGCATGTAATTTTGACATCTGAAAATAGGTTTTTGTATGTTTATGGTGGGAGGTGGTTGGGAACTTTTAACAAAATATGGGATGTTAATTTTTGTACAGTCTGGGTATTTACACATATTTTTAATGTATTAAATTTTGGTAATTATGTGCACATTAAATTAATAAATAGTTAACTTTCTGTTATGATTTGTTAGTTCCCTAGGACTTTGGAATTTTTTAAAGAAACTTTATATCAGAAATGATACCGCATCTTTATATTTTTTAAATTGTATTGCTGCTCAAGAATGGTACCCTGATGTCAAAAAGACATACATTCATAATTGTACATTCAGCACTGTAAATAACCTTATGAAATCTTTTTTGATTGAAGCTATTCAAAATAAAAATGTAAATGAATGAAATGGTATTTCTTTTTCTCTGTGTCTTTATACATTTGTTTGGTTTTTAGTTACATGAATATTTTCCTCTCTGGATTGATTTTCCTGCTTAGTACTTTCTCATTTCCTTTTTTTTTTTTCTTTTTTAAGCTTTGGGTTTTTGAAGGAAATAAATAGAGCATTGCATGTAACTTTATGTCTGTGACTGTCTATGGAACCCTATCAGTCAGTTGCAATGGAGAGCCAAATATTAAGTGTCAGGAGGTCTTAGGGAAATGGTGAATTATAAGACCAAACCAAAAGCTAACATCATGTAAGGCATGGTAAGTTTGAAGTGAAGTGGCATCCACGGGTGCAAAAAGAGCCCTCCAAGGAGAAGGAAGCTGTGGAGCTAACTGCTGATCATAGAGATCCCAGACAAGGCAGACTTGTGTTGGGCCTTTGTGCTTGGGTAGGTGTTTCCTGGTACGGCTGGGTCTGCAGAGGACCTGCATCCTCTGCTGTCGGCTGCGGTGTGATGGGTCTGGGTGGTGTGAAGGCCTTGTTTGAGCCTAAGTTCTCGCATGCACTGTGGTTTGTATGGCAAATGGTCATGTCCCCACAGCCTGCTGGTGTGAGCTCAGTTCTTTCTGTCCTTCCTCTTCCCCCTTACATCATTGCCCGTGGCCACCTGCTGAGTGTTTGTACATTGCAGGGAAGGACAGGAGTTCTAGGAGTTTGAGACTGGCCCTGTTCATAGGTGGGGTTGTGGTTACTCTGCAAAGAGATCCCTGCTGTGCCCTGGCCTCTGAGTCTTCCTTATGGAGGAAGAAAAGTATGACATCCGGGCAGACACCTGTTCTTGAATGGCCAAATCCCATAGGCCAGTGTTCTGTGACTCACGCCACTTAGGGCAGCAGATTTCTGACCTGTTTCACAGATCCCAGCTCCAAAGGACTTGGAACACTGGAGCTGTCAACTTCATTTCTCAAAATAATTCTTAATACCTTGTTCCTTTGGCGGATGAACTCACAGTGTTCCTCAGTCATCTGCAACATCTTTTCCCAGTTTTTCCTTGGGCACTTTGAACATCCTGCTCTCTTTGAAAAACAGAACTCAGAGGCCATCCAGATTGGAGTTCTTCCTGGGGAAGAAGGCTAAAGAAGTTTCAGCAGAATCTGGCTCCAAAGTTTACTTTGATTATTCCACAGTACTTCCCAATCTATCTTACTACATTTGCTCCCTGGCATTTTCATGGGCAAAGGTCCTTTCACTTGGTGTGCTGTGCGTGACTGACTCACGGAGCCACCAGGGTATCTACTCTGGGCTCCGGAGTCCCTTCCCTTGGTTAAAGCTGGAAGACATCCTGCCACACCTGGTAGAGGTAGTGGCTTTCCCTGTGGTTTAGGACTTCATGACTTGGAAGTTAATTTCAGTCAGTTCAGCATTTACTGAGCTTTCACGACATTTGGCTAAGTCAAAGGCTGATTGGATTTCAGTGCTTTTTCTACAGCAAATGTCATGGATTGAAGAGTTCTTTCTCAACCAGGGTAAAATGACCCCTCCGTACTGCTCCACTCAGTGATTCCAGGGTTTAATGTTTAATCTTTCACAATTCAAGCACTGACTTTCTAATATGCTTTAATACCTTTAAATTTGTTTTTTCCTTCAATAATACCATTTTCTCTTCCAAATCACTATTTTTACATTAAATTTATAAAAATATATTAGTGATAAAAGCACATTTAATAAAAATTTAAAACTCACAGAAGGGTATGTAGGGAAGTCCACCTATTCCCAGGTATCTCCCCCCAAAAGGTGATTATTAAGGTTTCTTGGGTATATCATTCCAGAAAAAGTATGTATGTATTGCCATGTAAATATGCTTTGAAAAGCACTACACAAGCAGAATCCCACTGTATATGCTCTGCTGCCCATGTTTTCTGTCATTCAGTGTACCTTAGAAAGGTAGGTCAGCTCAACTTTATTTAAAGTCTGCAAGGCATCCACACGTGGGCGTGCAATACTATAAACAACTTGATCCCTGTTGACGGTGATTTAGGTTTGTGTTTCTGTTGTACAATCCCGCAATAAATGTCTCTGCACGTATCTTAATGAGCATGTATCCATAGGGTGTATTTTTAAATCAGTGGAACTGCTGGACAAAGAATATAGAGATTTTAAATTTGGTTGATGCTACTAAATTTTCCTCCAAAAAGTTTGCCCCAATTTATCTGCCCACCAATGCAGTGTGAAACGTCTATTTCCTCACACTTTAGAAAACACTAATTCTCAGTCTTTGAGCATTAGAAGGTCATTTCAGTGTGGTGCTGGTGCAGGGATTATCGAATAGCCCAGGAGCAGACCCACACATTTGTGAGATGCTGGTGCCGACACCGCAGCTCTGAGGGGCAAGGGGTTTGTGGAACTAGGGCCAGGACAGCCAGGTATCCTCATGGGAAAAAGTAAAATGGGACTCAACCCACATTATACACAGACATCAACTCGAGATGGACTAAAGACCTAAAGGTGAAGGGCAAACGTATAAGGCATTATAGGGAAGTATATTTCTGATGTTGGAGGAAAGGGGGATTTATTTTAATAGGCACAAAAGTGACAGTTTTTAAAAGGTTAACTCTAAGACATGTCAAAAGACTTCATAAAAATGGTGAAAAGGCAAACCACAAACTAGTTAGAAGGTACTTGTAACACCTACAACCAACGAAGGATTAGCATCCAGAATATGTCAAGAAGCCTATATATAATCCAGGTTTTTTGAAGACATAAATATGCACACTTTGCATAAAGACAGACTGGCAAAAGACAACTCAAATTTTATCGGGGGATGAAGAAATGGCCCTTAAAATATAAAAAGATGCTCAAGATCATTATTAAGGAAGTACAAAATTAAAACCACATTGACAATCATTTCATATTAGTTGCCAAAATTAAATTTAAAAAATGATTCCAAGCGTGGGCCGAGCTGCGAAGCACTGGGACTGCCGTGTGCTGCCGGTGGCTTTGCGCCGGTGCAGTGGCTTTGGGAAGCACCTGGATATCCCTGAGTTCACTGGAATGTGTGAACACCCTTCACCCCAACCGGTGCTGCACAGTTGGACATACTCGACAATGTTTTCAGCCCTGTTATTGCTAAAAAGAAAGAAATTGAGTGGAGCCTTTGAGAATGGTCTTAACCTTATTATTCATCCGAGGGGGGTGGGGCACTGGATTAGAGAACTGGGGCGATGTGGCATGAAAAGGAAGCCCCAAAGGAATTGTGGTCCACCTAGGGGTGTGGCTGCCACTGTGGTCCAGCTGTGTTGCTAGGCTTGTCTAGCATCACGAAGTTCCATTGTGCCTTTTATGGAGACACTTCTCTCCCTCCTGCTCTTATTGTTCAGCTTGTGACAGTGGAAGCTAGGTTGTGCATGATGTCTTCAGTTTGAAAACATCTGTCATTAAAAACCAGAATGTGCCCTCAGATAGGGCCCTTCCCATGACTGTGACTCTGCTGAAGTCTTTATCCTGAGGATGCAAGGGCAGCGCCCTTTTCCTTTGGAAAGTGCCACATCACAGGCGAGAGGCCCTAAGCCTTTCAGTTGCTTTGGGGTGCAGCACCATTCCAGGTAAGGCCAAATATTTTTTAAATGAAATATGGGCAACTGGAGGGCTTGGCTAGTCTGTGAGTGCGTAAGCAATAAAATTTAGCTGGAAGAAATTATTTGTGTAGAATTACATTTGGTAAGCATTGTTTTGGCAGATTAGTATTACTGTGTGTTTCACAGATAACTCTGTCAGGAGTATTAATTTTTTTATGCTCACCTGAGGACATTTTTTATTTCATTGCTTTAAGAGAGAGAGGGAGGGAGAGAGTAACTTATGTGAGAAGGAAACGTAGTAGATGGGGTGCCTCCGGTAGGGACTGGAGGTGCCCAGGCCGGGAATCGATCTGCAGCCTAGGTATGTGCTCTGACCAAGCATCAAACCGACAACCTTTCCTTTGTGGGACGATGCTCCAACCCACTGAGCCACACCGGCGAGGGCATGAGTATTGATTTCTAAGCATCTTAGAAATAATAGCTTCTCATTTATGGCTCAGTCAGATGTACTACTCTCAATTCTAGTTCTGTGACCCTAGTTAAATTGTTAAACTTTCCATGGCTTACTGTCTTCATTCTTGGGGGATAATAACAGTATCTACACAGGGTTGGGTAAGGGTTAAGTGAATCGATTCAAATGAAGTGCCGGGAGCAATGCATGGCATTTGAAAGTGGTGAGTATTATAAATGCTTTTTTCAGCGTGGCCGAGGGTGTTCACTACCAAAGGAGGTGCTCATTGTTTTAGTAAAGCAGTTAGAACTGCGATAGAGCAGTGCGGTTGTGATCAAAGGAATCAGGCAGTGACCGTTGGTAACAGACCTTGCCTCTCCCATCATGACTGGGTTATAGCCACCCCTGGGTAAGGCATAAAGTTCAGAGCAGACCTATTTTATAATGGCCCTGCTCTGTGATGTCTGGAGCGTCAATGTGAAAATGATTATTTAATGAGTTTTCTCTATGCAAAGAAACACAATGTAAAGATAATTTACAAAATGTAATTTTTTAACAAAATCTATGTAAAGATTTTAAAGTATTGTGCTTTCGATAGCCTGAAAACGCTTTAATTTCAATGCCGTATCCTGAGAGTGGAAAATCAGTGAAACAAAAGAATGAGACCTCATAGTGGAGAATGAATGAATGTCTTTTCACCCACCACCCAGGCAAACCTGCACACCTAGGGACAGCGGAAGAGTGCGTTGTATCTGGATCACATTCCGAGTCAGTGGTAATGCTGGCGAAAGAATCATGCCTCTGCAAATTAAATTCCCAGGGTTACAAGCGCGAACATGAACGTTTGCCCTTGCGTGTTTTCCACAGGTTTCAGACATGCCGAGGAGCCCCCTGCTGTGGGAGCTCGCGCTGCCCTGCGCGGTGCTCGCGCTCCTGAGCGCCCAGCCCTTCCCCTGCCCGCCCTCCTGCAGGTGTCCGTTCCGGGACACGGCGCAGTGCT